CGGTTGCAGTTTGTCCCCGGCCCTGGTTGGGTCGTGTGGGAGGCAGCCACTTGATGTGTCCCTTTCACGTCTATGTTTCTCTCTCTCTCTCTTCCTCCCACTCTATCTGCAACAAAAAGTGGAAAAATGTCCTCGGGTGAGGATAAAAAAAAAAGAAAGAAAGTAAAACACAACTTGCCCTGGCCTGTTACAGAGCGTCATACCCTGACCATACCCTGACCGTAGGGGATGGGGGTGGGGGGCAGGTCCTGGTTTGCTGGTTTGATCCTGGCCCTGGTCAGGGTCATGCACTGGGCAACCAATCAATGTGTCTCACATCTCTCTCCCTCTCCTCTCCCCTCCCCCCTTCCCCCTTCCCCCCTTCACTCTCTCTAAAAATCAATGGAAAAAATATCCTCTGGTGAAGATTAACCAAAAAAAAAAAAAGAAAGAAAGAAAAACACAACTTGTAATATACTGTGGATGACATCCTGCACCTTGCTCTTTTTTATGACCTTTTGAATAGTTCAAACCTACCAAAAAGCTGAAATAATACTATAATGAAAACCCATGTATCCTTTACCCAGATTCACAATATGTAAACATTTTGCCACATTTACTTTACCTCTTCTTTTATATACATAGACATGTGTATATGTATATATATTTATTGCTGCTATATTTGAGTGTTAGTTGCAGGCATCATACCTTTTACTCCCAAGTAGTTTATTTTTTATTCATTGATTTTTAGAGAGCAAAACATCCATTTGTTGTTCCATTTATTTATACAGTCATTGGTTGATTTTTTTTTCTTTTATTTTATTGATATTTAGAGAGAGGGTAAGAGAGAAAGAAACATCGATATGAGAGAAACATAAGTTGCCTTCTGTACGTGCACCAACCAGGGATCAAACCTGCAACCCGGGTATATGCCCTGACAGGGAATCGAACCTGTCACCCTCTGGTGTACAGGTCTACGCTCCAGCCAACTGAGCCACACCAGCCAGGGCTCATTGGATTCTAGTATGTGCCCTGACCGGTGATCAAACCCGAAACCTTGGCCATTGCCTACTTCCAAGCTTCACTGGATGACACTCTAACCAACTGGGCTATCTGACCAGGGCTTACTCCCAAGTATTTTCGTGTGGGTTTCTTACATAATTACAGGTCACACTTAATATTGTCTAACATGCCCTGGCCAGTTTGGCTCAGCGGTTGGAGCATCGGCCTGCGGTCCAGAGAGACCCGGGTTCGGTTCCCACTGGGGGCATGTACCTCGGTTGCAGTTTGTCCCCAGCCCTGGTTGAGTTGCGCGGGAGGCAGCCACTCGATGTGTCCCTTTCATGTTGATGTTTCTCTCTCTCTCTCTCTTCCTCTCTCTCCCTCCCACTCTGTCTGAACAAAAAAAACAAAAAAAAAATGGAAAAATGTCCTCGGGAGAGGATTAAAAAATATATATATATACACACACGTGTGTGTGTGTGTGTGTGTGTGTGTGTGTGTGTGTGTAGTCTAACGTTTCTTTTTCCTAATTGTCCCCAAATGATTTTTTTTTATCCTCACCTGAGGGCTTTTTTTTTTTTTTTTTTTTTTTTTTTCACTAGATAGAGAGGGAGGAAGAGAGAGAGAGAAACATTGATGTGAGAGAGACACATCAAGGGGTTGCCACCCACACAACCCCAACCGGGACTGGGAACAAACTGCAGCCAAGGTACGTGCCCTTAGTGGGAACCGAACCTGGGACTCTCTGGTCCGTGGCCAATGCTCCAGCCGCTGAGCCAAACTAGCCAGGGCCCCAAATGATTTTTAATGGCTATTTTTTTCCCTCTGATTCAGAATCCAATTTAAAATCACTCATGAAATCTTGTCACATTTCTTTTTTTTCCCCTAGCTTTATTAACATATAACATTGTAAGTTTAAGGTGTACAATGTAATGGTTGGATACTTGCATATATTGCAAAAAGTTACCACTATATGGTTAGTTAACCTATCCTTCACCTTACGTAATTGTTTTTTTGTTGTTGTTGTTGTGTCATGTTTTTCTAGTGTCTTATTTAATCGGAGCATTCCCCAGCCTTTGTTTGTTTGTCTTTTTATGACATCGACTTATAAGAGTCCAGGCCAGTTGTTTGGGCTCCATCTGATAACATCTTCCTGAGTGAGTGGGGTTCAGCAGCCCTGTAGATCCACACTGGAATCTGTCCTCCTTGGGGCATCATGAGTGCAGGAGGCACTCAGTATAGCTTCTCTCATTATTGTTGATGCTTAATTTGACCATTTGGTTAACAGGTGTCTGCCAGATCTCTATTATGAAGGTGCTTTTTTTCTTTTGATTAATCTGTGGACTGGTACTTGGAAGCTGTGTCCAGCAGCTTTTCCTTCAATGACTTGGGCTGGCTTTTGCCATTTTACTTAGCCTGTCATGAGGAGTGTTGTGTGTCAGCAGCTAGAGATTTGTTCTGGCCCAGTCAGCTGGAATATGTTATTCCCTTTTAGGGGTATTTGATCATTTATCTACTAATGAACATAAAAAGATCTCTTGCTACTACAAACAGTGCTGTCTGGACTGTCACACTACATCTTTTAGGCACACATCCAACAGAAGCATTTCCTCTGCTGCGCCTTGAAAGTTGAGTGGAATTTTCTTGGGTAGAGCAAGGGGAGGGAATGGGAAGAAAATGCTAAGGCAGGATGTGGGAACAGCAGGTAGAAAACAGGTGTAGCTAAGGTACTAGAGAGCCAGCAAGTCCCAGAGCAGCCCTGGAGCTGCAGGATTATCACCAACCCATTGTACTGATGGAGGCACTGGGTCCCCAAGTTGCAACTAGTAGAGCAAAGAGAACTTAGCTCCTCCCTCTCCAAGCCCAGCCCCTCGAGGAAGCCTACCCAGACAGATTACTGCCACCTGGGCTTGCCCCTTCCTCTGAGCATAGCTTGCTTCTCTCTCCTCCCTTACACTCTCTCTCTCCTAGACCAGTGTGGTCCTGGCATGGTATGGTCAAGGGAGGCACAGAGGTGGGTGACACCTGAGGGTTCATGTCAATGTGGCAAATGTTCACTGGGGGTATAAGCTCAGGCAAATCCACCTTGCCTATTGGCTTTGCTCAAGGTCCCCATCTATAAAATGGGGTAGCCTCTCTCTCAGTTGTTAGACAACTTGACAAGCCATAATGTGCCAAAGACAGAGCCTGGCACAGAATAAGTGCTCAGAAAACAGGGCCTGTTATTATTTTTATTATTATCATCAAGTCAGTGGGGAGGCGGCAGCAGCTGCAGGCTGAGAAAGGAGTGTTTGCAAACTGACAGCTGGGAGGGTGACTAATGGTGCCATAGCCTCCAAGCCCTCCTGCAATGGCTTTTATTTGGGGGGGGGGGGGGATGTGGAGAGCAAGCAGAGCTCCTATTTAGAAGGGCCTGAGATTGGGGGCCCTAAATCAAAGTCTGGGCTGTCACCCTCACTAGGTGCGTGGCTTCGGGCACGTTGTTCAGCCCTTGTGAGCCTTAGTTTCTGCTTCCATAAAGGAGGTAAGGAGCTCATAGCTCCCACAGTATGTGGGCCACAAGAGTCCGGGGGGTGGTTTCTGTACTCTAGGTGGCTCAATCATATGACTGTGGAGTGGCGGGGATAGTGCAGGGGTCATCATCCTTGGACCTCAGTCTTCCTAGCAGATGGCAAAGGTTGATAGGCTGGCCTTTGGGAAAGGGAAGAGAGGCACAGGGGTTTTGTGCCAAATATTTCCAAGTCTAGGGCCTCATTCCACTCTTCCCACAGCCTGCTTGCAGGGGAGCCCAGTCCCTACCTTTCAGGGTGAGGGATCTGAGGCTCAGAGGGTTGAGGCATTCACTGAGTTGCACACTCGATAGAGCCAGGTCTGCCTGACTCTAGAACCAGGAGTGAGACCTGGAAGTGGTGGTGATTCTCCTGACTCTATCCTCCCTTTCACCTCCTGGTCTCCAAGACCACACACTGCTGCTCAGGCCCCAGGACCCAGGCCCCATGACCCTCAGAAGTAAACTCTGCTTCCTCATAGTGGCATTTGCAGTCCCTGCACCCTGCAAGGTTTATGCCAGGCTCAGCTCGGTGAATGCCACAGAGTGAACCCACCCCCTGACTGAGCTCAGACAGTCCCATAACCAGCACCCAGAAGCCCCCTTCATGCCCCTTCCAGTCACTGCCTCCTCCCAAGGGCATTCGCCATCCTGTACTGTGGATTAGGCCCAGTTTTGAAATTTATACAAATGGCATCACATGGCATGTGCTCAGTCTGTGTCTGGCTTCTTGGTTAACATTATGTTTAGAGGTTTACCAGTTATTTCATAGCTGTAGCTTATTGATGTTTGCTGTGGTGCACTGTTCCATTCTGTGAATATACCACAGTTTATCCATCTGACTTTTTAGAGGCATCTTGGCAGCTCCCAGTGTGAGGCTCACTACAGATCTGCTGCAGTGGGTTCTCTTGTGCCTGCCTCAGTGGACATCTGCCCTGTCTTCTCCTGGGTGTGCACCCAGAAGTGGGATTACTGGCCATAAGGTCGGTGTGCCTGGGCAAGTTTTTATAGACAAAGAAACTAAGAGGCCCACAGAGGACAGGTGACTTTCTCTAGTCACATAGCACCTTCCCCAGGTTCACGTAACTGCCCTGCACCTCGTTCCCCCACAGACCAGTTAGCTAGCATCGGGTTTGGGGCTGGTGGGGCTGGTGGGCAGGTGGCACTGGTGCTACTTAGTTCCCAAACTTCCTTTGCCTGTTGTCTGTTCTGTCAGTCTGGACAGTCTACTATGGGCTTAGGTTTGGTGGCTCCGTCTGTCCCTAGCGGTCAGTCCTCAGCCCTCACGCTCCTGCCTCCTCCCCGCTTCAGTGCCCTTAGCCTGCCGAGACTGTAAGGACTGCCCTCAGCCCAGTCCCGGTTCTGGCCGCCTCTGGCACCTGTTGATAGTGCTGTGGGGAAGGAGTAGGATCTCAGTGACTTGGGGTGAACCATTTCACACCCCTCCTTAATCTTTCTTTTCTCCCCACAGCTCTCATGGTACCAAGTGGTAGGTTGGCTTTCCTGTGACACGGGGACGCCAGACCTTTTGAGAAGATGTCAGCAATACAGGTACCAGGGGGATGGGGTCTGGGGCAGTTGAGCACCCCCACCACCCCTATGAGGGTGCTGAGCAGAAAAAAGGGCTCAGATCAATTCACTCCCCTTTTCCCCAGCCCTCTGTCCCAGCCTTGGCTTTCAACAAAGTGGAATTTCAGGGAGCCCTGTCACACACAGGGGCTTCAAAATGGGAGGCAGGTCCAGGGCAGTGGGGGAATGTCAGCTGGAAGGAACCCAAAGTTCTTGTGGGAGGTGGTACCTCACCTGGCTCATGGAGGCCAGTTAAGAGCTCTGACCTCGAGGGTTTGTGGGCAGGTGGGTAGAGAGGGGCCCGAGGCTGCACTTGCCCACTTGTTGCCTGTCCTGCAGGCCGCTTGGCCATCTGGTACAGAATGTATTGCCAAGTACAATTTCCATGGCACTGCTGAGCAGGACCTTCCCTTCTGCAAGGGAGATGTGCTCACCATTGTTGCTGTCACCAAGGTAATCAAGGACCTCACACGTCTACCCCCACCCTCTCCCACCTCTGGGCATTCCCTCTGGGTCCTGGTTCCCTGCAGGGAGAGTGGGCCTGAGAGTGTGTCTGGGCTGCCCTTCCTGCAGGACCCCAACTGGTACAAAGCCAAGAACAAGGTGGGCCGTGAGGGTATCATTCCAGCCAACTATGTCCAAAAGCGGGAGGGCGTGAAGGCCGGCACCAAACTTAGCCTCATGCCGTGAGTACCACTATGCGGGATGCGGCTCCCATTCTGGGGAGGAGGGAAGATGAAGAGCCCTGATTTCCGCAGGAGAGAATCAGGAAAATAGGAAGGCCAGAGGAAAGGGCCGAAATGTCCTAAGGGCTTTTTGAGGTGAGGGGAAGGGTATGGGTGCAGGACCTCAAATGGGGAGGATGGGTCTAGGACTGAAGAGAATAGTGGGAACAGAAGGGGGGCCTTCAGTAAGTGGATCCTTGCAGATGCAGGAGAAGGCTGGCAGGGCACCAGGCTCCATAACCTTGGGCCACCATGACCTCTGGCCTGGTGTCCTCCAGCTGGTTCCATGGCAAGATCACACGGGAACAGGCAGAGCGGCTTCTGTGCCCACCAGAAACGGGTCTGTTTCTGGTGCGGGAGAGCACCAACTACCCTGGCGACTACACGCTGTGTGTGAGCTGTGATGGCAAGGTGGAGCACTACCGTATCATGTATCATGCCAGCAAGCTCAGCATTGACGAGGAGGTGTACTTCGAGAACCTCATGCAGCTGGTGGAGGTGAGCTGCAGCACCCACAGGCCTGGGTGCTGGCTCCAGTCCCACTGCTTCTCGCTGTTTGACCTTGGGACTGTCATGCAGACTCATGCAAACTCAACGGCACCTGCTGTGTGCCAGGGTGGATCTCTGATCCTACAATGCCATCACAGGGAGGGTGACACTATCCCCCCCCCTTTTTTTTAAGTACCAGTTTTGTGTGTTTTTAAAAACTATTTGTACTGCCCTGGCCGATTTGGCTCAGCAGTTAGAGCATTGGCCTGAGGTCTGGAGAGACCCGGGTTCGGTTCCCACTAAGGGCATGTACCTCGGTTGCAGTTTGTCCCCGGCCCTGGGTGGGTTGTGTGGGTGGCAGCCACTCGATGTGTCCCTTTCACATTGATGTTTCTCTCTCTCTCTCTCTCCCTCCCACTCTATATGAACAAAATATCAAAAAACATCCTTGGGTGAGGATTAAAAAAAAAAAATTGTACTGATATTTAGAGAGAGGGGAAGGCAGAGGGAGAGAGAAAGGGAAAGAGAAACATCAATGTCAGACAGAAACTTGGATCAGCTGCCTCCTGCACACCCTCTACCCAGGATTAAGCCTGCAAACTGGGCATGTTCCCTGACCAGGAATCAAACCAGCAACCTTTTGGTGCATGGGGTGATGCTCAACCAACTGAGCCACACTGGCCAGGGCACTATTCCCATTTCAAAGGCCAGGGAATGAAGGTTTAGAGCAGTTAAGAGACTTGCCTGAGGTCACATAGCTATAAATGAGAGGTGCCGGGACTTGAATCTGAGTCTGTCTGATCCTGGAACTAGCTTCCTTCTAGCCAGTTACAGAAGTACATGTCCAAGTGTTTGTATATAAGGGTGTCCTCATGAACTACACCTTAATGACCAGCGTCCCCTGGGCTCATGCACCTGCAAGGATTGTGCCCATGCGTCCCTGTAGCTCCTGAGGCCAGCTCTCCCAGCCCTGGCCAGGTCACACCTGTAGCCACAGGAAGCCTCCCAGATACCTCCAGAATTCATTCTCAGCTTATTCCCCCTGCCAGTCTGGCTTGGCCTCTGGCAGTGGAGCATCTTGGCTACAGGCTGGTATCTGGACTGAGTCGGGGTTTGCCCTCTGCCTGGAAATGCTGGTGAGGACCAGCGTGATAGTAACAATGGGGGATGTGCCAGCAACGGGGTGTGGGGTGACATGGGCAGTGGGCCATGTGTCTGAGTCTGAGGCCTCCCTAACAGAAGCCTTACCAGAAATAGGGAGCTCCCCCCAACTAATACAACTTGGGGCTGTGTGGGACAAACCTCTGCCACCCTCTGGTGGTCAGACCTGGGCAATGCATGTGAGGATCGCCTGCCCTGTTCCTGCAGCACTACACCTCGGATGCAGATGGACTCTGCACTCGGCTCATCAAGCCAAAGGTCATGGAGGGCACAGTAGCAGCCCAGGATGAGTTTTTCCGCAGTGAGTGCCTCCCCCACCCCCAATCCTCACTTGCCTACTTACCTCCTGCTACCCAGGCTACTTGGCACTGCCCATCCCAGAGGCTCTGGAGACTTCCAGGAAACCCCACTTTACTTCTGTCTCTCCTGCTATGAACTCTGCTCCAGCTTCAACACCCCTCATTGGACCCCCTTTCCTTCCACCAGGTGGCTGGGCGTTGAATATGAAGGACCTGAAGCTGCTACAGACCATAGGGAAGGGGGAGTTTGGAGGTGAGCAGAAGAAGGAGCTGGGAGCCCTTCGAGGGGCTGAGGGACTGTGGGGCATCCAGGTACAACTCCCATCTCTCTGCCCCCAGATGTGATGCTGGGTGATTACCGAGGGAACAAAGTGGCTGTCAAGTGCATTAAGAATGATGCCACTGCGCAGGCCTTCCTGGCTGAAGCCTCGGTCATGACGTGAGTTGGGCAGGGGGTGGGTGGGGAGGTTGCCCCTCATGAGAGGTGGAGGGATGAGGAGGTTTGGTGGGCTCTGATCACTCCATTCTGCCCCAGGCAACTTCGGCATAGCAACTTGGTACAGCTTCTGGGTGTGATCGTGGAAGAGAAGGGCGGGCTCTACATCGTCACCGAATACATGGCCAAGGTGTGCGCCAGCCCGAGATCTGTCCCTGTGCTGGAGCTGAACACTGGGGCTTTCCAGCTGCATCCTTGGGCCCTGCTCAGTCCCCTCCTTCCAACTTAGCTTTCAGGTCCCCAGGGCTCAACTTTTGTCCTGGCTCATCATTTATTTACTTTGACCTTGGATAAGTTGTATCACCTCTCTAAGCCTCAGTTTCCTCATTTGTGAAATGGAGATACTAACAAAGTTTACTTCAGAGATTGATGAGAAGAGATAATGCATAAAAGTGGCTGAGCAGTGTCCAGCTGTAGAATCTTAACATTCATGCCGGCTTCTCCCATGCTCCTCCCCTTTCCTCACACCTCCCTTGGATGCTGCTCTTTACCTAGCCCCAGGTCTACTGTTCCCAAGGGCTGGAGGGCAAGTCTGACCTGTGGGCCATGGTCTGTCTCTCCTGTCCCAGGGGAGCCTGGTGGACTATCTTCGGTCACGGGGTCGGTCGGTGCTGGGTGGAGACTGTCTCCTCAAGTTCTCACTGTGAGTGAAGCAGCCCCTAGGGGAGGGTGGGGCCCACCCTGGTATGGGAGGCCTATCTGAGGGGACATGGGGCTGACTCACTCCCAGAGACGTCTGTGAGGCTATGGAATACCTAGAGGGCAACAACTTTGTGCACCGGGACCTGGCTGCCCGAAATGTGTTGGTGTCTGAGGACAACGTAGCCAAGGTCAGCGACTTTGGCCTTACCAAGGAGGCCTCCAGCACCCAGGACACAGGCAAGCTGCCAGTCAAGTGGACAGCCCCCGAGGCCCTGAGAGAGAAGGTTAGTGGGCCTCCCCCAGGTCCTGAGCAGTGGTGGACAGGGGTCCTGGGTCATCCTACCCCCAAGTTCCCAGGATCTGATACAGTTTTTTCCATCCACATGGCAGAAATTCTCTACCAAGTCTGACGTGTGGAGCTTTGGAATCCTCCTCTGGGAAATCTATTCCTTCGGGCGAGTGCCTTATCCAAGAATTGTGAGTGTGGGCGCTGGCATGGGACGTGGCTGGGCTATGGGAGGGGTGGGGCCTCCCTGGGCCCTGCCTCCCTTGTCTGAGGACTAGAAGCTGCAGCTTCACCCTCAGGACCTTCCAGGCCACTTCTTGGGCCTGTGTGTGAGGCGGAGTTGAAGGGGACCCCTAAAGAGGGATGTTGAGCAGCTCTGCACAGACTCATACCACTCATCTGCCTCCAGCCCCTGAAGGACGTTGTCCCTCGGGTGGAGAAGGGCTACAAGATGGATGCCCCTGACGGCTGCCCGCCTGCAGTCTATGAGGTGATGAAGAACTGCTGGCAGCTGGACACCACCGCGCGGCCCTCCTTCCTGCAGCTCCGAGAGCAGCTTGAGCACATCAGAACCCACGAGCTGCGCCTGTGACATCCGGGCTTGCCCAGGTCATGGGCCTCTGGGGACTGAACCTAGAAATACTGGACCTTGTGCCCCCACTCGCTGGGCCCAAGCCTGAACTGAGCCCAGTGGACCTTTTTTCTCTGTCCCAGCCTTTGCCCCCTTCGGCCACCCCAGGGACCCTACCTAGGCCTGGCACCTTCTCTCATGGACGCATCTGTGGGGTTCGGAGTGCCCCACTGAAGGCCAAGAAGGGAGGAGGCTGAGGAGCAGGAGGCAGATGCCCTGGCATGGTCAGCTTTCCCTGGCCTCCCATCTCACCTTCCTAGAGTTTTATTTCTTTCCTTTTTTGAGGTTCTTTTCCATGTGCTTATTTTTTATTGTTTTTCAAGATAAGGAGAAAGAAAGTACCCAGCAAATGGGCATTTTACAAGAAGTACGAATCTTATTTTTCCTGTCCTGCCCATCAGGGTTGGGGAAACCAGGCCCCTCTGCAGAGATCCATTGCCCCAGCCTTGTCCCCATTCTGTGTTCCATGTTCTGTGTTGCCTCGGTCGCCCTGTGTTTGCGCTTGACCATGTTGCACTGTTTGCATGCGCCCGAGGCAGACAGCTGTCAGGGGCTTGGAGCTCGTGGGTGCTGCTGCCACCTGGAACCCTAATAAACCACTCCATGAGGACACCGCTGCCCAGCCTTGGCGCTCACTTCGTGGAGCCTGCCTGCCCCCATCCCCTATCCCTGTGTCATCTTGTCCATCCCCCTGTCTCTGTGAGTGGGGCTGTGCTTGCCCTGTGAAGGGAGCGGGTGGGGAGCACGGCTGGCGGAGGTGGCCACCGCTTTGTGTCAGCGCACCCGCGAGTGTCCTGTGTCTGCCATGGGAGCTGTCACCACCTGCCCTCCCCCACCACATTGCTGTAGCCCAGGCTTAGCCCTGGGACTGTCTGGGCTCTGGGGTCCTGGCTGCCTCTCCTGCTGTGTTGTTCAAGCCATCAGCACAGGGAGGGCTGGAGCCAAGCATTGGGCGGGGGAGGTAAGGAGCCAGGCCTGACCAGATGGAGATGGGGTCTCCCTGGTAGGAGGCACAAAATAAATATCTCAGAGATGTTGACCCTGGAGGGAAAGGGAAGGGAGGCTCTGGGCTGCTGGTGATTCTCACAGTTCACCTGAGATACAGGAGCACTTCCCAGGCCTGTGCCTGAGTATGAACATGTGAGGGGCTTCTGGGGGGTAGAGATGGAGAATGAGGACCAGCCATGGCATTTTCTCCCCGCGGGTTCCCAGGGCAATAGTCAGTGCAGAACCTCTGAGGGTCGGGAGGAGGCTCATTTCATTCACTGAGACAGGCAGCTCGGGGTCCCCTTGTCTAGTTGGGGCTCTGACCCTTCCTGGACCAGTCAGCAGGGCCTGAAATCCAGGCAGTTTGTTTTTGTTTTTTTAATTGGTTTTAGAGAGAGGAACAGAGAGAGAAAGATCAGTGTGAGAGGGAAACATTGATTGGCTGCCTCCCATACAGGCCCAATAAGGGATCAAACCCACCACCTTCTGGTGCATGGGACTATGCTCCAGTCAACCGAGCCACGCCCGCCAGGGCTCCAGGCAGTCTGGCTGCAGTGTGCCTTGTGCACTGTCGTTTAGCCCACATCATCTCCCACCCCAGCCGTGGTCCAGCACAGCAGCTTCCTAACCTCCCCCCCTTCCCGCCAATCTGTCCTCTCTGCACACTTGCCAGACTCATTTTTCTAAAACGAGACCATTCAACAACAAATATTTGAAAACCTGCTGTGTGCTAGGACTGGGATTCAGTAGTAAGCAAAGTAGACCCTGTGGAGTTCACAGGAAGCCAATCACAAAGACAGTTATTACTAAACAAAGACAGACACATGTGCTATGAAAGAAACATACATCACGGGGATCAGATCTTGTCTGTAGATTGGAGAGTGCTTCCAGGAAGACAGCATGTGAACACACGGATGAACAGGAGGTACAGAGGGCAGGACGCATTGCAGGGAGAGATGCTGAGACTGGGCAGCTTGCTCCAGGGTCTCTGAGAAGGTGGGTGAAAGTGTACAACAAGCCTGAAAGGTGTGAAGTGGGCTGGAGCAGTGAGGGCTTGGCTTTCACCACACCTAGAGCCATGGGAAGTCAGCAGCAGGCTCTGAGCAGGATGGTGATGTGTTTGAAGCAACCGCCCGGGCTGCCGGTGGAGGTCTGCAGGAAGCACGGTGTGGACTGGCCTGTGGGAGAGGACAGTGGGAGTGGGCCGATTCCAGAGGGATGTGAGAGAGAACTGCCCAAACTCGGTCATGGGCTCGGCATGAAGGTGAAGAGCGGAGCCATGGCAGTGCCTGGTCCCAGCAGCGTGGCCGTGGGAGGCAGGGGCAAGGGCACCCTCTGTGTGAGGGAACATCTTAAGTTCTGTGAAGGGCATGTTGAGTTTTGAGTGTGCCTTTGAAACAACCAAGAGGTATTGAGTAAGTTGGGATTCAGAGGCTGGATAGGGAGATGTGAGTTGTTGGCATATGGCTCAAACCGGAAGGTGTGCAGAAGATCCCTTTAGGAGGACATGCAGAAGAGAAGGCCCACCAGGCAGGTGTAGAGGAGACGGGAGTGCCCTGTCATAGGGGCCAAGGGAAGAGTCCACGAGGAGGAGCCAGCTTGTTCCCCACTTCCCAGAAGACACAGAAGGAGACAGTGCCTCTTGGAGGTCACTCCTCACTTCAGCTAGACCTGAGTTTGGTGGGGGCAGATTCTAGATTACAATGGCTGGTGGAGGGTGCCGGCCATGGGAGAAAGTCGACAATCCTGAGAAATTTAGCTCATAGTGGAGAGGGTGGGAGGTAGAGGATTTTTAAGATGGCAGAGGCTTGAGTAAATCTGACTGCCAAAGGGAAGGGTATTCGGCCCTGGTTGGTCGTGGGTGGCAGCCATTCGATGTGTCCCTTTCACATACATGTTTCTCTCCCTCTTCCTCTCTCTCCCTCCCACTCTGTCTGAACAAAAAAATGGAAAAATGTCCCCAGGTGAGGATAAAAAAAAATAGGCCCTGGCCAGTTTGGCTCAGCAGTTAGAGCATCGGCCTGCGGTCCACAAAGGGAAGGGTATTTACCTTTAAGTCTGCATACTGAGAGGCAGGCAAAAAATAGGGGGGATGATAGTGATGGAAGGTTGAGCTTAGAGCAAGGGGTGAACAGGGAATGGACCTTCGAGGGGAGAGAGACTGTCCTGCAGAGGGAGTCACGCAGCTGGGGCAGCAGCTGGGGCAGTAGTAGGCAGGGAGCTCTGATCTATAGTTGATACCGTGGGGACTTTGACAATTGGCTCTCACTAGCTGGTCCAACCCAGCTTAGGTCAGAAACAGGCAATGGTGCCAGTGGCCATGGGTCATGAGGGGGAAGGCCAGCACCATAATACAGTGGGACCAGGTGTGACAATCGGGTGTGAGGGACAGGATCCAGCTGATGGGGCTCTTGCGGGAATGCAGGCCCAGATAGCCTGGGTGTGCCTATTCTTCCCACCTGCCGGCATGTGAGCTGCATTACTCCCCCCTTTCTGTCACTTGGTTTATAGTGTTTTTGTTTTCCCTTTTCTTTTCTCTCATCCTTCTCTCTGATCTGGGCTGGCCACTGGCTCATTGTAGATGAGCAAGACATAATTCTTACCTTCCAGGAGCTCATGGACTGGTGGGGACCCTGCTCAAGACTCGGCTTAGTGCCCAGAATCTGGTGGGAGTTTCTTACAGCCCATGAGAAGCTCATGAGACAGAGTAGGTGGGAGGTGTGGGGCAGCTTCTCAGACACTTGGAGAACAAGCAGGAACAGAACAAAGAACAGGCACTGCCTAAGCAAAGGTGGGGAGGCGCTGAAGTGTGGCTGGGCCAAAGGTGCCTGGGGTGTGTTTTGGGAGCAAGTAAGGTTGAAGAGAAGGCACAGGTCACACAAACCTGGATTTGCAGGTCCCACAGGGAGTTTAGGTTTATGCAGAGATGACCAGGAGCAATTAAAGGGTTTAGGACAGAGGAAGACATGGTCAGGTCTGTGTTTTAGTAAGATCCTTCTGACTACAATCTAGCCTTTTGAGCAGGGGCTGTGTACGAAGTGGAGACGGTAGGGAGGTTGCGGTCAGCCAGGCAGGTGATTGATTGTGTCCTGGGCTGGGGAAGCCAGTAGGAGGTGGAGAGGAAGATGAACACAGCTGATGTTTTACTGACCTGAGCACTCTGTCTGCCAGGCCCTGTTCTAAGCACAATCAGTAGGCATATTACCTCATGCAACCCTCCAAACAACTCTTGGAGATATACACTAGATATGCACATTTTACAAGCAAGGAACTGAGGCTTGGAGAGACTCAGGGACGACGGTGGGAGAGGGCAAGAGCAGACTGAAGAACTTGCTGCTGGCTGATGACAGGAGAAAGCAGATGGATCTGGGAGCTCCAGTCTCTGGCTCCCTATGAGTCACCCATGAGACCCCAGCCATGGAAGAGGGTGGGCTGAGGGTTGGAGAAGAGGAGTTTGGTTTTGACATGTCATCTGGGGGCCTATGTGACATCAAGCTGAGTTGTCCCCTGCAGAGTTGGATATTTATTTGGGCCTGAGGCTCCAGGGAGAAGAGCTGAAAGTAGAGAATTGAGGATCATGGCACAGCGGCAGTGCTTGAAGCCATGGGCATGGGCCAGCTTGGCCAGGGAGCATGTGGTGAGTGAGGAGAGAGGCCCCAGAGGAAGGGCTGGGGAGGCAGAGCAGTGGCCAAGGGGCTCCAGGGCAGCCAGGAAGCTGGGGAGAGGCAGGGCCTTAGGGGGTTTTCAGAACACGGGGCAGGGCTGGGCGTGGGGAATTGATATCCATAACATTTCACATGGTAGAGACTGGGTTAAAGAAGTGTCCACTAGGCACAGAGAACGGGGGCCACCGCCAGGCCTTGCTGGAGCAGTTTTCACTCAGTGGGTGGCAGAGGCAGGAGCTGGAGAGATCAGTGGGAGGTGAAGAAGTAGGGCCGGGGCGGGGCCCACCTTTCCACAGCGTGGCTGTAAAGGTGCAGGAGAAAGTGGGTAAAGGTGGCTGAAAGTTCAGTGTTGAAAAATGAAGTTTTTCTTTAGTATGTCGTAAAATTTTCCATTTACAGGCTTGTTTTATTATTTTTTAAAATCCTCACCTGAGGATATTTTTCTGTTTATCATCAGATAGAGTGAGAGGGACAGAAGGAGAGGGAGAGAAAGAAAGAAATATCGATGTGAGAGAGATACATCAACTGGTTGCCTCCCGCAAAACCCAACCAGGGCCAGGATGAATCGCAACTGAGGTCGAACCCGCGACTCATTGGTCCAACGCTCTAACCGCTGAGCCAAACTGGCCAGGGCTACAGGCTTTTTTCTAATTAATTTGCAGAGCTTCAGTAATTGAATCCTACTGGGAACTTACAAAGTACAGTAAACTTCAGCTATCCAGAATTCTTGGCTAACGAGACACTAGAAAACCAACATTTATTCAGATAAAAATACTTGAAGTACAGGATTACTTACTTTTTTTTTTTTTTAATCCTCACCCAAGGACATTTTTCCATTTTTTGTTTAGACAGAGTGGGAGGGAGGGAGAGGAAGAGAGAGAGAGAGAGAGAGAGAAACATCGACATGAAAGGGACACATCGAGTGGTTGCCACCTGCACGACCAACCAGGGCCAGGGACAGACTGCAACCGAGGTACGTGCCCTTAGTGGGAACCGAACCCGGGTCTCTCTGGACCTCAGGCCGATGCTCTAACCGCTGAGCCAAACCGGCCAGGGCCAGGATTGCTAACTTTTTAAAAATATGCTTATTATGGAAATTATCAAACATATAAAAGTGGAGAGAAGAATATAATGAACCCACCATCCAACCTGAAAAGTTAAATTCAAGGCCAGCCCTGGCCAGTTTGGCTCAGCGGTTAGAGCGTCGGCCTGCGGTCCGGAGAGACCCGGGTTCGGTTCCTGCTAAGGGCACGTACTTCGGCTGCAGTTTTGTCCCTGGCCCTGGTTGGTCATGCGGGTGGCAGCCACTCGATGTGTCCCTTCACGTCGATGTTTCTCTCTCTCTCTCCCTTCCTCTCTCTCCCTCCCACTCTATCTGTACAAAAAATGGAAAAATGTCCTCGGGTGAGGATAAAAATAATAAATAAATAAATAAATAAATTCAAGGCCAAATGCTGTGCCATCCACACCCGCCAAGCTCTGGGATATTTGGAAGCAGATCCTAGACACCATATTGATTCCTCCAGAAAGCTGTAATACATTTCTCCAAAAGACTTTGTAAAAATATAACCACAATATTGTCATTACTCCAAAAAATCTTAACAATTCCTTAATTTAATCAAATATCCATTGTTCAAATTTCCCCAATTGTCTCATTTTTCCCTCTAGTTGGTTAAAATTAGGCTTCAAACAAGGTTCACACACTGCATTTGTTTGCTCTGTTTTTCATGTAGTTTATTTGTTGAAGAAACCAGGCTGCTTGGAGGCATGAGCCATTGGTAGAGAGCTGAGCATGACAGTAGAGAGAGCAGGACAGGGACGGATGGGGTGGATGCTGGGCACAGTCAGGACATCCACCTGCAGGACAGAGGCAGCCGGCAGCATGTGGAGGCCCTTCCTGAGCCAACAGGAGAGACCAGAGCTACTGACAGGTGGGCTTATCCATGTGATCCCTGAGGTCCCTCAGGTGGGGGAGCTGAGGGAAGATGGAAAGATGGTCTGAACCGAGGTGCAGGAGCAGAGCTCAGGCTGGCCCAGTGGGGGAGGGGCAGGGCCTGAGGGCAGGCCCAGAAGGAGCAGGATGTCTGTGTCAGGAGGGAGGGAGAGTGCAGTGCCAAAAGCCAGTACCCAGCTCCTTCCGGAGCCCCTCCCTGGCCTCCCTGCTAGGGATCCACCCTGGGCCCAGACACCAGATCTTTTTACAATACCTGTGGTCAGTGGCCCTGATCCCTTGCTCTGCCTTCTCCTCCTCCTGCTCCTGGCCTCCCACAGCCAGAAGCCACTGAGGGGGGCCATCCTCCTCAGTAAAAGTTTGAGTACAAGCTCAGTTTCAAGGGACCAAGCCTGGGCCTGGAACATCATTCTCGAGCCATCATGAAGGTGAGGAGTGGAGTGGGGACCAGTCATGCTCAGGGTTCCTTAGAGTGCCAGAGCGGCTGACCACTCGAGGTGGCTGTGATTTGGTGAAGGGTGTGCCTGCCAATACCAGCCTCTGGCCCAGATAGGTCCAGGCCTAGGGCAGGCCGTGCCAGGGCCCCAGGACCGCTCCCAGGCTTGTCTCCTGTTCCACCCACTACATCACACTCCTATCCACCGGCCTCAGTTCCTCCTCTCTGCCTCTTTCCTTCTCTGCCCTAGGGTTTCTCTCTTCTACTTCTGCCTCCTCTTGGAGGTCCCTCCCATCGCCCCTGCCTCTTGGACCCATGAACACACACACACACACATGTTCACATGCTGAGTCCCAGACACACAGACACAAGGCAACTTGGACCAGCACAAACCTCTACTCTCCTGGCTCCATGCTGTTGAGCCTATGGCAGTCCATGAGAACTGGGGGGCTGCCTGGAAGGGGGCACCTCATGGCCGGCTGTTTTGCCAGAGCGACACCAACTCTGCCCTGTATGTGTGCTGGGTGGGAGCAGTCATGAGAGCATCTTAGTCCACAGGTCTGCGTTCAGGGCCTTCCAAACCCTAACCTATACAGACTCTGTCTTCTACTTAAATCTTGTTCAAAAAGATTTTTGAGAATTTACAAGGACCTATGCAATAGAAAGGAGCTTAAATTAGGAGTGAGCAAGAAGAATGAAGCTTAGGGTTGGGGTTGAGGCATAAAATGAGTCCAGGAACTTGGCTTGTTGCCAAAACATAGGCCTGTCCAGGTCATGCCAAGCCTTCTGAGTTGGGCCATGGATCTGGTTCAGAGCCTCCTACCTGGTAAAGCAAAGAGAAGCAGATCCATTGTATATTTCTGTGTCTATGAGATGTAAGTTCTTAAAAATGGCACTATTCCCGACTGAGACCAGAACAAATATCCCTTTAAGATGACAGGCCCTGACTTGGGGTCTTGGCCCAATCCTGTTCACAGAGGCACAAGGAAGTAAACAAAGGAGGCGCTGTTTCTCACAGCACCAAGCCAGGCTCTGCCTCAGGGCCAGGCTGACAGGGCCTGTGCCACATTCACTGCTGTGGGGCTTGCCAAGCCTGGGGTGTCACAGACCATGTGGAGGAGTAAACCACCCAGTGTATGCCCATTGTCCATTCATTCATTCATTGATCCTTTTATCGGACTCCCTCCCCCATGTCTCTCTGTGTCCAGCTCCAAGATAAAGGGCTGCATCAGGCTCAAGGAGCTCACAGTCCCATGAACAATCCACATAAATCTCAAGGCATAAGTGTAGTAGTCAGTGGGCAATCCTTGCCTCCTACAAGTCACTTCAGAGGCAGTGATGGCTTCCAAGGGTCTCCAGGACTTCTGGCCTTGCAGCCTCTGAGCCTCCTTACCCCCAGCCCTAGACTAAGAAAACAGGCTGGCCATGGCTGGTTTGGCTCAGCGGTTAGAGCGTTGGCCTGCGGTCCAGAGAGACCCAGGTTCGGTTCCCGCTAAGGGCATGTACTTCGATTACAGTTTGCCACTGGTTCTGGTTGGGCCGTGCGGGTGGCAGCCACTCAATGTGTCCCTTTCATGTCAATGTTTCTCTCTCTCTTTCTCTCTCTCCCTCCCGCTCTATCTGAATAAAAAATAGAAAAATGTTCTTGAGTGAGGAGGAAAAAAAACAGGCTGGAATAGTAGTCTCTAGAAAGTCCTGGCGGGGACTGAACCCTGGACCAGGTTCCAGTCTGGCAGGATGGAGGGGTGAGGAGCCAGCCAGGGTAGGGAGCCAACTAGGGTGGGATCTCTGATCTCCCTTTTCCTGGTTTCTGCCAATCCTGCCTCAATTTCTCTCCACTTTCCTCCCTCCTACAAAATAGGGCTCCTTTGTCCCCCTCACCTCCACTAGTGGTAATTCTCACACACACATACTCCATCCCTCACCCTTTCTTCAGTCCCGAAGGCTAATTCCACTTTTGTTTTCATGCTTTCTTCACCTTCAATTGCTCTTTCTAAAATTTCCCCACCAGCACTGACCAGTTTGGCTCAGCAGTTAGATCAGGCCCATGGACCAATGAGTCGCAGGTTTGATTCCAGTCAAGGGCATGTACCTCAGTTGCGGTTCGTCCCAGGCCCTGGTCGGGGTCGTGCAGGAGGCAACCAGTCAATGTGTCCCTCTCGTGTTTCTCTCTCTCTCTGTGTCTCCCTTCCTCCCTCCCTCCCACTCTATCTGAAGATAAATAGAAAAATATCCTCAGGTGAGGATTTTAAAAAATAAATAAAATTTCTCCACCAGAAAGCACCCCCCCCCCACTCCAGCCTCATTTGGGCACACTAGAGTCCTCTCAAAGTACTCTCCTGTGCTCTATGGTCTCGCCATGTCCTTTCCCCTCATAGGGCCTCAGTTTCCTCATCTGAGAAACAGAAAGGGTTAGATACAAAGCTCTCTCCTGGTGGAAGACGCTTGTACTTTGCAGTTAGATGGAGCTGAGTTCCAATCTGCTTAGTTCCTTAACTTTTCCTAGCCTTAGTTTTCTCAACTGTGAAATGGGGTCCGATAAAAACAGACTTGTGGTGAGGCTCCAGTGAGAAGGCAGGCAGTGCTCGGCATGGGCCTGGCATCCGTCACCCTCTCTGGTGCCAGGCTCCGACGCCTACTTCTTCAGTGGATTCTTGTGTCTGGCCAGCCAGCCTGGTGTTTAATGGCAGGCCTAGTGCTTCCTTCTCCCAGAATGAGAGGATAAGAGAAAATAATGGGGAAGAAAGGGAAGGTGGAACTCAGGCCCTGAATTGCCCTGGTCCACAGACACCATCTGGGCCTGGAGAAAGTGCAGCTGGCCACACCCATGCAGAACTAAAGTGGTACAGTGTAGAGTGGGGCCCCTGTCCTCTTCTCTGGTTGGCAGGTGGACATGCAGATGAGGGTGACTGGACCAGGGCACCAGGGAACCTAGGGCATGGTGAGTGGCCCCCATCAAGGCCTGGCAGAGGATGTAAGTCAGGGAGGTGGGTGCTGAGCCAAGGGTTCCAGTGTCCCACGGGGGAACTGAGCAGCTGGGGACCCACAGGCTGTGTGATACACCCAGAGCGGGGCTGAGTCAGCTCTTTCCTGGTGGAGCCTGCCTTGAGGGATGGCATCAGGATCCTCTTTGACTCCTCAGCTCAGGATACCCAGGTGAGTAGTGGTCTTCTGCCTGCCCCCTGCCCACACCCACACCCTCCTCCTTGTGCCCACAGCTCAGGCTGCCTGTCACCTCTCATTTAGGACAGCCCTGCCATCCATGTGCTGGCCAGTGAACAGCACATCCCCTACAAGCTGCTTCAGTAAAGGCCTGTCTGACTGACTCCTGCCCCAATTCCTGGGCTGTATCCACACTGCCCACTCGTGCCCCTGCCCCAACCTCTGACAAGGAGCCAAGCCCTCCTAGGGATGTGCCCTCCTTGCTCATCTGAGTTGATAGCTCAGCTAGTGCCTCCCTGGGACTCCCTCCCACTCAGTCCCAGCTGTGCCTCCTCTAGGCCCAGGAGCAGAGTTTGCTTGCTCTTCCTGGGAACCACCCCAGGGGGTCCTCCATTCATGCAATCCAACAGCTCCAGATCAGTGGGGATAGTGAAATGATGCAGGTGAGTCCTGTGCTGAGCGTTTTCTCTCATATCATCTCATCTGATGCACAACATTCTTGAGAAGTGGGGATCGTTAGTCCCAACTACAGGTGAAGATATTGAGGCCCAGAAAGGTGAGGTGATTTGCCCGAGGTTACACAGCTGTGTACCGACCTGAGCTTTGAGGCCAGACTTGCCTGTGGAGGGTCTGTGCCCCCTACCCACCCTAATGCCAGCTGCCTGTCAGCGCCCTTCCCTTTCTCCGGATGATGTGGTTTCCACTCCCTCCCCAGTTCACAGCCTCCTCAGTAGCTGGGCCAGTTCATCAGTGTCTCTCAGCAAACATCCCTTAGCTCATTACAATTAGAATAATTGCTGACATTTATTGGAGCGGAGTTTACTGTGTGCCAGGCACAGCGCCAAGCACTTCACATTGTTATGAGGTAGTTTCAATTATTATCCTCAATTTAAAGATGGGGACGTGGGCCCTGACCAGTTTGGCCTGTTTGGCTCTGGAGTTGATCTGGCCGAGGCATGCGGGTTTGATCCCCAGCCCTGGCCTGGGGTTGTGCAGAAGGCAACTAATCAATATGTCCCTGTCTCTCTCTATCTATCTCTGTCCCCCCAATATTCCCCTCCCTACCTTCCACTCTGTCTAAAAATCAATGGAAAAAAATATCCTTGGGTGAGGATTAACAACAACAACAACAACAAAAAAGATGGGGAAGTGGGAGCTTGGAAAGGTAACTTGCCCAAGGTCACAGCAAGGAAGCGAACACAGGTGGCTGCTCAGATCTGGCTTCTCCCTACTCTGTGCCTCCCCTTCTGGTCTGAAGGTGCAATGACATGTGAGCTGTGCCTGTGTCTGTGTGCCCAGAGAAACTCAGGACTTCTCAGGCTCAACACCCTTCTCTCCTTTCTCCCCAGAGCCTGCTGCACAGCCCTGCAGGACAGGCGGGCTGGTCGTATTGTCCTTGTCCACTAGGACACATCTTGTGTTGTCTGTCCTGCTCCAGTCCAAGATTGGCAGAGGGACAGGAAAGAGAAGCCCTACCCAGAGGCACGGGGTAGGGGCTTGGAGTTTAAGGAAAGGGGAAAGAGGGAAGGACAGTGGGAGGAGGTGGTGGGTCTGGGGGATTGAGGTTGGAATTCCACATAGAGTCCAGCCTCTGTCTCCCAAGGGAAGAGTCACAGAAAGACCTTTGACCTCTTCTGTGAACTCTAAGTCCCTGTATTCTGCCAGGAAGGGCTTGCTCTCTTGCCCCTCTCTCTTCTGCTAAGGGAGCACGTCCCAGCAGGTCATCCAGTTGGGGGGACGTGACACTGCAGGCCTGGGAAGAATGGCCTCTGGGACCACCCCCACTGTCCAGGACGTAGGTCCTGTGTGGCCCTGCTCTACTCTAAGTACCCACAAAGATGTAGTCAGCCTTTGTTACCACAACTTCTGGAACTGGCCATAGCCCTCCGGGGCACAGCTCACATACTGGGAACAAGGTCTTCCCATAAGCAGGTCCTACACATGCACAGCCTGATTTGCTTTTTCAGGTTCTATGATCGAGCAGGTTGTGTACACTACAGGGCTCAGAGCTACAAAGATGCTGTGTGATCTGTCGTCCATGGCCCCAACAAACTAGTGCCTATGACACCACACAGGGTCACTGGAACATAGGGCAACACATACACAGGATCCTCCTTCCTACACAGAATCCAAACTGGCTCAAAGCACATACCTGTGGGGGCTAACAACATGAGACCAGGTGTGCAAACCTCTCCATGACAATCTGGCACCAAACCCTGTGGTGACCTGTCCCCCTTTAGGGCTAGGGGAGCCAGAGACTCAGAGTTGGGGATAATTTCACCCGCTTGGGGCAGGGGAGAGGGAGGGTCCCACCCACAGGGTGCTCACTCCCTCTGTGCCCCTCAGGTGTTCTTGAACACTTCCAGATACCTGGATTTGGTCTGCTTTGATGTGGGATCCCTGCTTTAGACCCTGGGAAGTTTCTTTGGAGTCTCAGCAGCCATCAGAACCCTGGAAGGTAAGAGCAGAGGAACAGTGCCTAATGAATCATCCTGGAAACACATTCTACGGAACACTGGGTGTGGGACCAGCCGCTTCCTCACTGTGTGACCTGGGCAAGTCCTGAGTCCTCTCCTGTCTGCCTTGCAGAGTTGTAAAGTCTCAAATTGGATAAAACACGAGAAGCTTTTATTCCAGTGTTGGCCTCATAAGTGCCCCTAGCTGGGAGCTGTGGGGCGAGTGGAAGAGGGACAGCCATGAGGGACATTTAGGGAAATGGAGCAAAGAATGTACTTAAATTTTTATTTTTTTTTATCCTCATCCGAGGACATTTTTCCATTTTTTTGTTCAGATAGGAGGGAGAGAGAGGAAGAGAGAGAAAGAGAGAGAAACATCGACGTGAAAGGGACACATCGAGTGGCTGCCACCCGCACATCCAACCAGGGCCGGGGACAGACTGCAACCGAAGTACGTGCCCTTAGCGGGAACTGAACCCGAGTCTCTCTGGACCGCAGGCCGATGCTCTAACTGCTGAGCCAAACCGGCCAGGGCAATGGAGCAAAAGATGTAATGGAGAGTCCATAGAGGGACCTACAGTTGGTGCAATTAGACAGTGGAAATTTGTGAATGCCAAGATTTTCAGTCTTTAGACTCTGGGCACTGGTGAGTCATGGAAGGTTTCTGAGGAGAGTGACATGGTCAGAGCCATGTTGAGGAGGTGGCCACCACGTGGTTGCTTTTGTCAGAAGCATCCTGGGGGCCTTAGGGTGTCACTCAGTCTGCTTCCATGGCTCTAGCCCAGGACTGTCCAACTTTCCTACTCAGTGGGGGCCCACCTCTGGGGGGGAAATCAACCCTCACAGCCCACCCATCTGCTTGTCTGACCCTAATACCTTTTTTATGAAGTAAGCAAGACAAGGGTCACTGCTGTCTAAAGCCAACAGATCTGCTTTGGCCGGTTTGGCTCAGCGGTTAGAGCGTCGGCCTGCGGCCCAGAGAGACCCGGGTTCGGTTCCCGCTAAGGGCATGTACCTCGGTTGCAGTTTGTCCCCGGCCCTGGTTGGTCGTGCGTGTGGCAGCCTCTCGATTTGTCCCTTTCGCGTCGATGTTTCTCTCTCTCTCTCTCTTCCTCTCCCTCCAGCTCTATGTGAACAAAAAATTTAAAATGTCCTTGGGTGAGGATTAAAGTCAACAGATCTTTTGCCTGCCTGAAATATAATGGAGCCTGAGGTGTGAGAACTGAGTGAGTGGGCTACTGGGAGTGAGAGATCTTCCCTCTCCTTCTCTATCCCCCTATCCAGATGACCATGATGTCTTTTTTTTTTTTAATCCTCACCCAAGGACATTTTTGCATTTATCTTCAGATAGAGCGGGAGGGAGAGAGGGAGGAAGAGAGAGAGAGAGAAACATCGATGTGACAGAGACACATCAACTGGTTGCCACCCACACCACCCCAACCAAGGCCGGGGAAAAACTGCAACCGAGGAACGTGCCCTTAGTGGGAACCAAACCCGGGTCTTTCTGGACCACAGGCTGATGCTCTAATTGCTGAGCAAAACCAGCCAGGGCGACTATGATGTCTTGTCCTTTCTGACCTCCAGTCTGAGTGAACCAAGTCCAGAGGCCTTGGGGGGAGGACTGAGGAAGAGGCAGCTCAAGGATCCCTTCTCTTTGCAGCTGCTTCTGCATGCTATCAGACCTGCCATTCCAATCATTATCTCGACCTGCTTTCTGAGCCTTGCTCAGGTCAGGCCTGTGCTGGGCAGTGCTGGTGACAGAGGTGACCCAGAGCCAGGGCTTGTCCTCAGGGACTTCCCAGGCTGTGGGAGCACAGAGGAGGAATCCTAACCAGCCAGGGGAGCAGGAAAGGCTACCTAAAAGATATGTGCTTGAAGGAGCAGTTAACTGAGTGGAGTGGCATAGACAAAGGCCTGAGGCCTGCGAGAACTGTAAGGCTCAGAGGCCCAGAAACTGCAGGGCCTAGAGGCTGAGCTGAGGAGCAAGGGCACTTCCCTGGCTGAGGTGAATGTATGGTCAGAGAGAGAGACTGGGCTTGTGGGAAACCCTGTGGGAAGGCTCCCCTCGTCCCCAGATCTCCCATAGGTTTCAGGCCCAAGACTTTGTCTTCCTCCTCCAGGCTCTTCGTGGAGGTAGAGCAGCTCCACCTGGGATGCAGCTAGAAGGGCTATGGGCAAGGCTGGCTCTGGGCACCAGGGAAGACATGATTCCAAAGACTAGGAAGAGGGTAGGAGCCCAGGGAGCAGGCAGGTGGGGAAGGGGCCCATTTGAGTATCATAGGATCCCCTTCTCTTCAAATCAGGAGTCCTTTAACCAGTGGGGAAATGGAGGTTATATTTAAGCAGTCCCTGGGGCCTAGGTGTTCTCTCCTACCCCCGCCCCACCACCCAGACACATTTTTCCAGGGGAAGAGTCTTGGAGGCAGAAGCCATGACTTTCTGTTCCCTTTTCCAAGAAGCCCCCAGTAGGTAGGATATGTTGCCCCACCCCAGCTGGCTGGCTGTCCCAGCTCTGCACCAATCCCCAGGGGAAATAATTTTTGACCTGGAGGAGACATTGAACAGACACAAGCAGATCCTGCAGAATCTCTCTGAGCACTTGGCCCAGGCTGAGAGGCAATGGAAGCAGCAGCTGGGGTCCCCAGGTCAGGCCAGGCCTGAGGGAACCTGGGTGAGTAGCCCCCAGAACATTCATCCAGGCCTGGAGAAGCTGAGCTCCCTAGGCACTGGATCCCATGGCACCAGTGGGCTCCTTGTGTCCAAAAAGAGGAGCAAGCACTATACTTGGGAACTACTATCCCCCAAGGTCTGGAGGGAAAGGAGGGCAAGGTTGATAGAGTGGACCTACTAGGGGATTGTGCAGGAAGGTAGCTCTGTATAAGCAAATGCCTAAGAAGCCACACAGCTGGGGCTGGAGAGAGGAGAAGCCAGGTATTTGGACATGGGTCTGTAGACAAGTGATAAAAATAGACTGGCTTCAATTTGCATGTAGCTCCACATGTGACTTGATTGACATATGGCTCACTTAATGCTCAGATGCACCGGAGTCTGTTCATCTCCACTGCTATCCTGGCTTCTCCCTAGGGAGTCATGCCCCATGGCAGGCCCAGCCTAGGGCCTGAGAATTAAACCAGCCAAGATGTTAGATGCTGGGCAGAAGAGACCAGCGACTCCTGTGGGTTTTGCTGGGCTCCAGTAGCTTGAGGTTTCAATCTTGTGTCCTCAGGCCAAAGCATCTGTGGCTGGGCTGCTGGAGTGGGGAAGAGAGGAGGGGCACCACCCTCCAAGGCTAGGCCTCTCTCATCCTACTTCCAGGCCCAAGATCCTTCCTACTAGATTCTACTCACCCCAGAGAGGCCACTTCTCTAGGTCACTCAGCAAGACAGGGGCTCAAGCATTAGGATTTGACTGGCACTGGCCACAGCTTGGACTGTACCCCAGGGGACGTGGGGAGGAGAGGCCTGAATGGGGCTTCTGCCTCATTCAGGGGTAGAACCACTTCTGGAAAGTGGAGGGATTCTGAGAAACCCCAGGAGTGGCCACTGTCTGGGGGAGGAGGGAAGGACCACCCTCAGGGAAAGGAGTTTGAGAGGAGGCATAATCCAGAAGCCAAGATGAACAGGGGTCATATGAACTCAAAGTGTCCATAAGGAGAGCCAGGTAATCAAGTGCAGCCTCTAGAAGAAAAAGGACTTCAGTGCCCTAGGGAAGGTAGACTCTGAGAACAGAGGGGCTGTGCCCTGGCTGTTTTGCTCAGTGGTTAGAACGTCACGGACCAAAGGGTTTCAGGTTCGATTCCCACTTAAGGGCACGTACCTGCATTGCAGGTTCAATCCCTGGCCCTGTTTAGGGTCATGCAGGAGGCAACCAATTGATGTGTCTCTCTCATCTCGATTTCTCTCTCTCTCACTCTTCCCCTCCTTCCCTTCCACTCTATCTAAACATTAATGGGGAAATATTCCTGGGTAAAGATTAACAACAACAACAACAAAAAGGCTTGCTTTCCTACAGGACTCTGCCAAGGTCAGCACCCTGCTCAGTGGACAGTGGACTCTGCTCCAGGACCTGTAAGAGATTAAGTAAAGGCATAGGAGTAGAAGGGATCATGAGGGTAGAGGGAAGAGAAACCCCATTCTACCAACTTCCCACCCAACATTCCCACCCCAGGGAGTTATAGTAAATCTGAAAATGCCTCCTGGAAGGCATTTTGATGGGATTCTTGGAGGGAGCACAACCAAGATAAGGCCTAGTGGTGGTAGGTCCCTGACTTTCTTTTGCCCCTTCCAATCTTCCAGCATCCCACTCTAAGACAGGTTTCTGGAGATATCCATACAGCTTGGGGGACAGGGGGTCATTTTGATGCTGGGTTTCAGGCTGGATACTGTGGCTACAGCCCAACCCCTGTCCCCCCATCTAGACTGGGAGTGGGAAGATGGGACAAGGGAGAAGAACTACATCCCCTGGGGACTGGGGATGAAAGGTAGAGGCTCAAGAAGCCTGCAGTTGAGACAGATAACTTTAGGGAGATCCTTCGCTGAGCTAAAGCTGTCTCAGGATCCAGGAAGGAGGTTTGGGGTAAGAACAGTCCCCAAGAAGGGGCCCTATAGATGGTGCCTGTTTCCCACCTAGATGCTGCCTCTGGGAATTATAAGAAATGTGTGACCAGAAGGGATAATGAGTCCTCTTCTTGGTGTCCACTCCCCACCAGGACACAGCAACTCACATGGCTTCAAGAGCCCAGGTCTTCTACCTGCCTGTGGGCATCAAGCATCATTTCTCAGAGTGGGCCCAGATCCTGAGCCTCCTACAGAAGGACCTTTGGGCCCAGCAGTGAGGGGGAAGGAAGGGGAATAATGGGGGTTCTATCCCTGAAATCTGGGCTCAGCCCCTTCTTCCAATACTTCTGTAGCCCCAGGCCCTCTTGTCTTAGCTCTCCCCTCCTGGGTCCCCTGGAAGGCAAACCTGTGTCTGTATGTGTGTGTACATGTACACGTGCACACAAGGAACATAGCTCATCTTCTCTGTGCCCTCTCTGCTCTCTGGAGAGTCCCACAGACTCTTAGTGCTAGCAAGGCCCTGGAGACCACTTGGTCCAACTCCCTCAGTGACTAGAAGAGAAATGGGAGTGGGCTGTGCCCATGATCACTCAGAGAAGCATGCTCTTCCCCATACCCCTGCCCCATCTTGCTCTTTCCCTCGTCTTTGCTATCACCCTGTCTTTTGGTATTTCTCTCTCTCAAGAACCTTTGGTCCCCTGATGATCCCAGGCTCCAGGCCTTCCCAGCTGTTCCCACAAATGGCAACTGGGGAGGAGGAGGCAGCTTTGCATTCTGGCCCCTCTCCAGTGCCCTGGGTAAAAACCAGAGCACCCAAGCCTGAGAGAGAAACAGAGGCCACAATGGCCCAAATTCCAGGACCCCTCCCCTCCTGGGTAAAAAACTGATCCGGGACCTTAGAACTTCCCCTTTCAGAAAGCAGGAGGCAAGGACCCCTGCCTACATGACCAGCCCCCAGGGGCATCCTCATGCCTGCAGCCCAGCACCTTCCTGTTCTTCCTCCTTATTCAAACTGTAGTTTTCTCCTTCTACCTGCACTCAGGTGGGCCAACCTATAGGCAGGACCTTCCATACTACCTGGCTTGGGTCTGGGGCACAGTCATTTGCTTTGAGAGAGAGAGCATTAAGGTCCAGGTCCACCTGCCTGGTCTACCAGCTGGCAATGAACAGTGCCTATTCTTTCAAGAGGCACTATACTAATCACATGTTCAGCCACTGATCTCATCTAGATCCTGCCCTCACAATAATTACTCTCTACTGTGTGAAACCAACAAGTACCTGATAGTCACACCCTATGTGGTCAGTGCCATGATGGCAGGAAGCTTGGGGGCTATAACAGTACAAGAAAAAGCATCTGACTCAGTTTGGGGAGATCAGGGAATCAGCCAAGAAGGGATATTTGATATGGGTCATCAAGGCAACTAGTTTTCCAACCTGATAAGTAAAGTCATCAATACAGAGGAAACAGCATGAGAAAAGGCATGGAAGCCCTGGCAGGTTTGGCTCAGCGGTTAGAGCATCGGCCTGTGGTCCAGAGAGACCCGGGTTCGGTTCCCGCTAAGGGCATGTACCTCGGTTGCACTTTGTCCCCGGCCCTGGTTGGGTTGTGTGGGTGGCAGCCACTCAATGTGTCCCTTTCACGTTGATGTTTCTCTCTCTCTCCCTCTCCCACTCTAGCTGAACAAAAATGGAAAAATGTCCTCGGTGAGGATAAAAAAAAAAATTTTTTTTAAAAAGAAAAGGCATGGAAGCATAAAGGAAACACAATATTGTGAAGAAAAAGTGGCAAGTTCAGTACTGCCAGAGCAAAGGTTGGGACCAGTTTGTGAAAATGGGCATAAAGAATCACAAAGGGCCCTGGCCAATTTTGCTCAGTGGTTAGAGCATCGGTCCAGAGAGACCTGGGTTCGGTTCCCACTAAGGGCATGTACCTCAGTTGCAGTTTGTCCCCAGCCTGGTTGGGGTTGTGTGGGTGGCAGCCAATCGATGTGTTTCTCTCACACCGATGTTTCTCTCTCTCTTCCTCCCTCTCTCCCTCTGTTTTATCTGAAGATAAATGCAAAAATATCCTCGGGTGAGGATAAAAAAACAATAAAAAAAAGAATCACAAATGTTGGGGGCAGGTTACTCTTTCTGCTTGGTGGACGTTTGTTGAATGAATGAAACATTTAGAAATGTAGGGTGTGCTAAAGAACTCAGAAATGCGATTGACCGTTTTTGTTGTTGGAATTTCAAGACAAGAAGAATCAGTGTAGGCCAGAGTGGCCCTGGAGGAGCAGTGAAGTGTGCTGAGCTTTAAAAGCGGAGTTGCAGAGGGGACAACCTCCAGGTGAGGAGAACAGCAAAAGTATGAGGTAGAATGATGACAGGCTATGTATTACATAGGAGTACAATGAGCCACCCGGATAGACCCTGAATATCAGGGGGACAGTGTGGTCCTTAATAGGGCAGGCCAAAGGAGCCACAGAAGGTTCCAGATCAGGGGAGGCTGTGGTAAAGTAAGTGTAATAAAGTATAAGGAGCCTGCTCTCAAAAGTCTGGAAGGGAGAGGCCCAAGTCACCTTCTCGCCCTGGCAGTAAGCAGGAGCTGGATGAGAGCCTTCAGGACTGTCTGCAGCCTTCCCCTGAGTCCTGCACCATGCATTCTTAGGGCTCTAGGGGCTCTGAGGAGGCAGGCCCTCTCCCCTAGCATGCATGGGTGACCTCCCTCAAAGCCCTGAAGGAGTATCCAGTTCTTTTCACTGGAAAGTGAATGGTGCCTGGGGGGCAGAGGTCTAGGCCAGTATCTTCCCTCTGGGTGCCCAGTTCCTGCGCACACCTTATCTTTTGGGGAGCTCCAACCTTATTAAAAGTGACCCTCCCCATGCTTTGATATGCTCATTTACCTTCCAGGTTTGCCTTTATCTCTCTGAAGGCTTTTCTACCTCCTTTGGAGAGGTAGCTGGGAGTGGGCTTCAAGCAGGCAAGGAGGCCAAGGTCTGGCATGACCACCAAAAGACTGTATACCCCACAGACCTTGAGCCCTAGGAGGGAAAGGAAGTCACAACTGTGTATAATTCTTTCCCCAGATTCACCAGAACGAGGAGAAGTGTTTTCAGGTGCCCTTCCTGTATCAACCCAGCTAGCATCACCATGAACAACTCTCTCTCCCAACTCCCTTCAGCTCCAGGGGTCAGAAAGGCAGGAGCCTGATGGAGAACTCAATGAGGCAATCCATGGAGCCATAATTGGGATTCCCTGCTCTCTGGTCTCTCTGCCTTTTTCAGTGTGAAGCTTTCTAAGCAGCTGCTGGGGCAGCAGGTTGGGAGAAGCATGGGGTAGGGCCCAGGGCTGGATTTTTGCCCCTGGCTGCAACTCTCTGGGGATTAGGGAGCAGGGTCAGCATAGCCCATCCCCCTCGGGAACGACCCCACCCCAGAAGGCCTTAATCCGTTGTCAGCAGTGCCCGGCAGAGCTTGGCGTTGAAGGAGGCACATGGGAGAGGAGGGAGTGCAGAGCGGGCACGTGGTCTAGCCGCCTCAGCCCCGTGCATGCCCCACCCCCCGCCCCTGGTGAGGAGGGGTTTGCGAGATGGGGGTGGGGCCGGGGCTGGAGAGCCAGCAGCGGGCGGCTCAGAGAGTTGGGTGGTGGCCTGCAGCGAGAGCTGTCCGCAAGTCCTAGTGCTGAAGCAGGTGCGGACGCGCCCGGGACCGGAGTCAGCGAAGACCATGGCGTTCATGGTGAAGACCATGGTGGGCGGCCAGCTGAAGAACCTCACCGGGAGCCTGGGGAGTGGCGAAGACAAGGGGGACAGGGACAAGTCGGCGACCGAAACTCAGGGTATGAGCCGAGAGGAGTATGAGGAGTATCAGAAGCAACTGGTAGAAGAAAAGTGAGTGGGATCCCTTCCCAGCTCCAAATACCCTCTCCCACACTCCACCTTCCAGCTGCCAGGCCAAGCCCTAGGGCAGTCTCAGACCCCAATCCCCTTCCCTACTTTTCTAGACTGGTAAGAAGCTGGGATGTGCACCTCTAGGCTGCTCTCTGCCACCCCCAGTCACATTTCAAACCCAGGACCCTGCCCCAGCTTCGCATTCAACCCAGAGGAAGTGGGGGCAGGAGCGGTAGGGATCTGGGACCAGGTGGGGCACGTGCATTTCAGACCAAACAAGTAATCCTTTAATCCGATCTAGTTCCAGCATCTGTGACTTCCAAGTGGAACTCCTCTGAGCCTGAGGCTCTGAGAACAGCGATGCAGTTGAGAGGAGCTCAGTCAAGGCGACAGATCCTGAAATGGGGGCATTCATAGATATTAAATCCACTGGTGTGCAGACAATGCTAAGACAGCTAGAGTAGAGTTAGAGGCTGGACTCCAGAGCTGCTTGGGTCAGATCCTGCTTTGCTTCTTTTTAGCTAGGTGATTTTAGGCAAGTTACTTAACCTTTCAGTGCCTTGGTTTCCTTTTCTGTAAAATGGGAATGGTAATTATAAAATATGCCTTATATATTTATGAGGATTAAATTACTTAATGCAAGTAAACTGCTTAGCACAGCACCTACCTAGCACATGATAAATCATTAAATGTTAGCTATAATTATTCCACTTAACCCTGATAACAGTTTTATGAATTGCAAAATCTTATCCCCATTTACAAAAGAGGAAAGTAAATGACTTACCCAAAAACATACCAAAAGTGGTAATGGAGCTGTACACAAACCCAAGTCTATTTCAGATACTTTCCCCCACTCGAAACAACCTGTCAGGGAGGGAAAAGACAGACTGAGTTGGAAACCTAGAGGGACATATATTAGGGAGCCAGAGTGACACCCCCTGCCCCATAGCTCAGTCCAGAGGCAGGTGTGGAGACTAGAAAGGGCACTGTGATGGGGGGGACAGGCCGCAAAGACCAACAGCAGCTGCCAGGTCCAAGCTCCCTCCTAACACACAGGCCCACAGGTGCCCAGCCCCTTAGTACTATGAGCAATGACTCCACCCTGGTGCCCCCGCAGGATGGAGCGGGACGCACAATTCACACAGAGGAAGGCAGAGCGGGCCACGCTGCGGAGCCACTTCCGTGACAAATACCAGCTGCCCAAGGTAAGTTTAGGAGATGGGGCTTCAAGGCACATCTGGGTCCCTGGGCCCCAGGCTCTGGACTCCTTTGCCTCACTTCGGGAGCCATGACTCTCAGCTCCTAAGACTCATGGAGAGCTTGGTTAGACCATTTGTTCATTCATTCTTTCACAATTAACTGGAGCCTGCCTAGGACTAGGGCTTGGTGAGGAGGGATAGCCCAGTTTTCCGGAGACTGGTAGGTTTGTGTTTCTGGAGCCAGTCCAGGCCCCTTTTGTCCTCCGACCCACGCTCATCCAATACAAGTCAGGCCCAGGCAGAAAAAGAGTTGGAAGGCAATAGATTTTGCTGTGGGGGTGAAGGCCCTTGGGGCTTCTGAACACCTGGGGAGGAGGAGTGGGGGAGAGAAAGCAGCACCCTCTGTGTGCCAGGCACTTAACCTTCACACCTCTACCTAACCCCAGCCAGGTAGCCATCATCCACATCTACAAATAAGGAAAGTGAGACTCAGATAGATTAAGGGACTTGGCTAAGATCATATAGCCAGTGAGTGATGGAGCTCAAGCTTATGAATGCTGACCCTGCTCCAGGCTCCTGGCTGCTTTCCAGGGTATGAGTCTGTCTGCAAAGAGCAAAATAACTCATTGGTTGTTCAGGCAGCCAGGAGGATGTCTCCTCTAGGCACTGCAGCACCAGATGGGCTGCAAGTGTTCTACTCCTGTTGCCTAAAGAGAGAACTGAGGCACAAGCTACTCCCAGTGCCCAGAAGTATGATAAACTCAGGAGAAAGAGAAATACAGTGCTATAGTATACTGACGATCTTGCACCTGAATTGGAAGATCAGATATATGACTATCACACCCACCCACTCAACAAATATTTCCTGAGCCCCTGACTGCCTCTGAATCCCCACAAGGCACCAGTGTTTTAGAAGCCTCTCAAAGGGAGAACAGGTCCAGAAAGCCTGACTTTCTGGGAAGTAGCTGATTTGAACATGCCTAGGAATGGTATGCATATGGATACCATTTCTACGTGGAAATGGTATCATTTCTCAAATGCTTGCATTAAGCATGTAAGAAATACAACTCCTTCCATCTGGGAACTCTGAGTCTAGTAAAAGAAGGAAGACTTAGCTGTAACTGAGTAGGACATACAGTGGAAAGCCCCAGGGCACCCAAAAGGATAGGAAAGTGCAATGACAATCAGTAGGTGCCTTGCAAAGAGAGCACAGATGTTGATATCACTGACATACATTTAAATCTAGTGATCCCACTTCCAAGCAGTATGACCATGGGCAAGTTACTTACTTAAATTACCTGAGACTTAATTTTCTTATTTGTAAAATAGAGAAAACAATACTTGCCTCACGGGGTCATTGTGAGAATTAAAAGCACTCGATTCAATATCAGCCGTATAATAGATGTTTGATGAATGGTACCCATCACTATTATTGGTAATGTCCTTCAGTGTAAACGATAGTCAATATATGACTAACTGTAACATTTTGACTCCTAGGTATTCCCATTTTGTCCTTACTCACTATGCTAATATCTTACTTTAGTATCTCAGAGTGAAGTAAAGTGATATAAAAATCCAAATGTCAAAAGCTTGATCTTGAGGGTGGAGGCTTGATCCTGAGATGTTGGGGTGGGGGCTGAGCTCACTGGAACATGGAGCTCAAGAATCTAGGAGCCTGGAACTCAGTCCAGTCCTCCTCCCTACACCCTCAGCTTGGGGTCGCATAGATCTCCAACCCCAGCCCAACCCTCCCTTCTCTTCAGAACGAGACAGATGAGAGCCAGATCCAGATGGCAGGTGGAGACGTGGAGCTGCCCCGGGAGCTGGCCAAGATGATTGAGGAGGACACAGAGGAGGAGGAGGAGAAGGCCTCAGTCCTTGGGCAGTTGGCCAGCCTTCCTGGCTTAGACCTTGGCTCACTCAAGGACAAGGCCCAGGCCACACTGGGGGACCTCAAGCAATCAGCTGAAAAGTGCCACCTCATGTGACTACTTCACCTGGGGTTGCTCACTGGGGTGACCAGAGGGCTGGGCTCACCTGAGCACTAAAATCAAGTCTCAATTTCCATGGACCCATACCCCATCTTGTTTTTGTTTCCCCTGTACCAGCCTAGCCCCAGAACACTTCTCTGCCCCCGCCTGCCTTCCAGTCTCTCTCCCCCACTACCCCTCAGGACTCACCCTCCATACTCAGCCTGGGGAAGCCTCCCAAGATTGTAGGAATAGGCCCAACTGACCTTCCCTAGCTATGGCCCCAAATTCCTGCACATAGGTACACCCTTAGAGACACACAGAGGGACACAGAGGCCTTGGAATGTGCAGAGGCATACACCACAGATGAATCCTGTTGCACACAGACACACACACACAAGCCGAGCCCCCTCTTGCCTCACCCCTCTAGACATCAACACTCAGATATGCTTAGGTAGGCTTTAGGCAGACAACCTCAGTAGACAGGAGGTCTGAGTTTGAGTCTACACATTTATCCTCCTTGAAATCCACTGCTCTTTCTGGGCCTCATTCCATCATAAATAAAATGAGGATGAACTGGGTGATTTTTAAGACTCTTTCCTAGCTTGGCCTCCCTGGCCCCTCGTATTCGGTAGTCAACCCCACATCCCTCCTTGGGCAGGGCAGCAGCTGCAGTTATAGCATCAAGCAGCTACCACTGTGGGCCCTGGCTCTTGGGAGCTGAGTGATGCTCTGCAAGGGACCAAGTGCCAAGGATGAAGCTGGCACCAAACAGTAATGCAGGCAGTTCCAGGCCTTCTCTGAGCCCAGGGCCCAGGGCCCAGCCTATTTCTGTTTTGTTCTTGTAGAACTCTCTCTCTCTGGATTCCATAGCTGGATCTCCTCACTCAGCTCAGTGAAAAATAAAAATTCCAAATGACCTGCTTATCCTCCCACTTCTTACTGAATTCCAAGAGTCTTGGAGTTCACAGGCCCCCCAACCCTGCTTTGGAATGGTGTCCTCTACCTCTTCATCACAGTTTCATAGGAGCACCAGCCTCTATACAATGTTCAACCCCTCTACATTCTCAGGGCCCTGGGCAAGGGCATGGGTCCCTTGCATTGACCAAGTACCAGGTCCAGCTTCTGGGCTCTGAAGAGAATGTGGCAGCCAGCTGGATGGGCAGGGCCTCTGGGGTGTTACCTGAGACCACAGGAGGGGCCACAGCTCAAACACAGATGTCTCTGGCAGCTGTATCTATAACCCCTCCTCACCTTGGAGATGGAAGGTGTAATGAAAAGAAGGCAGGGCAGCCTTGGCCAGTTTGGCTAAGTGGTTAGAGCATCAGCCTGCTGACTGAAAGGTCTCAGGTTCGATTCCGGTCAAGGGCATGTTCCTGGTTGCAGGTTCAATCCTCAGCCCCATGCAGGAGTCAACCAATTGATGTGTTTCTCTCACATCGATGTTTCTCTCTCTCTCTCTTTTTCTTTGCTTCCCTTCCTTCTAATCTCTCTGGAAATCAATGAAAAAAATATCCTCGAGTGGGTGAGGATTAACAAAATAATAATAAAAATTAAGCCCTGGCCGGTTTTGCTTAGCGGTTGGAGCGTCGGCCTGCTGACCAGAGAGTTTCGGGTTCAGTTCCCACTAGGGGCATGTACCAAAAAATAAATACATAAAAAAAGAAAAAAAGGCGGGGTAACTGCATTCCAGCCCTGGCACTGCTGTGTGACTTTGAACAAGTCCCTTTCCCTCTCTGAGCCTGTTTTCTTCCCTGTAAAATGAAGAGACCCCCATCAAAAAATAACAATGCAGCCCAGCCAGTGTGGTTCAGTGGATTGAGCGTCGTCGTCCCATAGACTGAGAGGTCCGGATTCAATTCCCAGTCAGGGCACATGCCTGGGTTGTGGGCTCGAACCCCAGTAGGGGGCGTGCAGGAGGCAGCTGATCAATGTTTCTCTCTCATATCAATGTTTCTCTCTCTCTCAAAAATCAATAAAAAAAACATGTTTCTTTTTTTTTTTATGCTCACCCAAGGACACTTTTTATTTTATTTTTTATTTTTTTATTTTTTTAATCCTCACCCGAGGACATTTCTCCATTTTTTTTGTACAGATAGAGTGGGAGGGAGAGAGAGGAAAGGAGAGAGAGAGAGAGAAACATCGACGTGAAGGGACACATCGAGTGGCTGCCACCCGCACGACCAACCAGGGCCGGGGACAAACTGCAACCGAAGTACGTGCCCTTAGCGGGAACCGAACCCGGGTCTCTCCGGACCGCAGGCCGACGCTCTAACCGCTGAGCCAAACCGGCCAGGGCCCAAGGACACTTTTTAAAAAATATTTTGGCCCTGGCCAGTTTGGCTCAGCGGTTGGAGCGTCGGCCTGCGGTCCGGAGAGACCCGGGTTCGGTGAGCCAAACCGGCCAGGGCCCAAGGACACTTTTTAAAAAATATTTTGGCCCTGGCCAGTTTGGCTCAGCGGTTGGAGCGTCGGCCTGCGGTCCGGAGAGACCCGGGTTCGGTTCCCGCTAAGGGCACGTACTTCGGTTGCAGTTTGTCCCCGGCCCTGGTTGGTCGTGCGGGTGGCAGCCACTCGATGTGTCCCTTCACGTCGATGTTTCTCTCTCTCTCTCTCCTTTCCTCTCTCTCCCTCCCACTCTATCTGTACAAAAAGTGGAAAAATATCCTCGGGTGAGGATAAAAAAAAAAAAAAAAATTTTGTTCAGATAGAGTGGGAGGAAGAGAGAGAGAGAAACATCGATGTGAAAGGGACACATCGAGTGGCTGCCACCCGCACGACCCAACCAGGGCCGGGGACAAACTGCAACCAAGGTACATGCCCTTAGCAGGAACCAAACATGGGTCTCTCTGCAGGCCGATGCTCTAACTGCTGAGCCAGATCGGCCAGGGAGAAAATAAATGTTTCAAGGGGTTACCATTTGTAAAGCGCTTGGCACATGATAGGCCATATCAATAAATGATGTCATTCTTTAAAGAAATCGAAGAGCCCAAATCTCATCCTGCTTACCTGTGGAGTATCCAGGGAACGAACTACGAGGTTCTACAAATAGGTCATCCCAAGGGCCTAAGCAGGAACAAGGTGTCACTATCATCCCCCCACCCCACCCTGGCACCGGCTTGTGGAGAAGAATTACAGTCAGAACGGCCATCTGAGGGTTTGGTTTCAAGGGCAGTTTCCATTAGGGCTCCTTTGCAAAATAAGAACAAGGCACATAAAACTTGTGTAACAGGTGACGTGGGGAATGTCAAGTGGAAGAGAGACGAGAGGATGAGGAATTAGGAGGGTGAATGCAGGGAAGGACACAGGCCCAGGATTAGGGCAGTGCTGTTGTAGCTGTCATGCTGGGTACCTTTTGAGCATCCCCTAGGCTGTCCTCAGGTTGTCACTAGACAAAAACCCCTCCTGATCTTCCTGAAGCTGGAGGAGACCCAAGTTGGGGCCCCAGCAGGCTGTGTGTATGTGGGGACATGGGCCTCATTACCCCATCAGCAGCTAGGCCCATGTCAGCACTCCACCTTCCAGGGGCTCCTGCCTAATGGAATCAGACAGACACTTTACCCTCAGTAGTTTACAGGACCAAGAGTGGAAAAGGCAGAAGACTGGGCTGTGGGGAGGCTAGGGTTAGCATTCACTGCCTCACAAGAGAGAATGGCTGGGATCTGGAGTCAGGGAGCAGGAGGAGGCTAAACCCCTACACTGATTTTCTCCTCAAAGGCTGGGAACCCCAAGAAGCCCTGACCTGTCTGCATGTTCCTGGAATTGGGGGGAGGTGGCATTAGAACCAGCTCCAGCCCTCATGCGGAAATGGGCAAGGAAAGCAGACTGAGGGGTCCCCAAGCTCTGCTGGACTTGCCCTGACTCTCCTCTTCCCTCCCCTGCTCTCTGGCATCTGTTAGTCCATGCCCCTCTTATCTATGCCCCCCCCCCTCCACCCTCTGGCTCATTCTTGCCTCATACCCATCTTATACCCATGTCCTCAGCTGGGGGCTTCCTGCCCCACTTCCAAGCCCTCAGGGCCTAAAGAGAACTATTCTTTTCATATCCTGTTTGTATTCCCACTTATTTGGATAATCACTTGCTACATAACTAGTCCACTCACCTGATATTATATGAGGACAACAAAGAAAGCCACTCACCACTAGAACTTCCCTTGTCACCATGATTAAAATCCCACCATTAAAGCCCCATAGTTTGGAGCAAGGCATTTACCTGCCCAGGCCCTCTCCTCCTCTCCCTTCTGTTCTCTCCTTTCGTCCTTCTCACGCTTGCAGGCAGTCTGGATACAGGAGATATTGAAAGGTGATGAGACAGTCCCTCCAACCCCCACCCCCCACCCCACTCTTTTAGGAAAAGAGGATAGCAAAGATGGCCAGCCTGTTCCCCCTCAACCCCACCATTAAGTTCTCTAGCCTCATAATGTGGGGGATTTCAGGGAGATTGGTGCCAAGCCCTGGCCCATTCCACTCAAGAGTCCTTCTACTCATCGATAGCTCAGGCCTAGTTCCCAGAGGGAGGGGGTGCAGATCTCAAATGACTCTCCAGAGGCCAGTTGGTTTCCAGGGTGGACTTGGGGAGGATGGTGACAGGGTTTAGAGTGGGAGGCTCCCTGTTTCCCCCAGTGTCCAGCTGGTCCCTCCTCAGATACTGGAGGCTCCCAGCAGGTGAGCCGGGAACATCTGGGGGAATGTGTGCTGAGCCACAGCTGCTGGCAGTGCCTAGTGACCCAGCTGATGTCTGAGGCTGCTTGGGGGTGGGGAGCATGTGAGGGGACTGGAAGAGAGCCATAAAGCCTGCCACCTGCCTCTACTCCGGTTCCCACCAGGCATAGCTATTCCCAGTGCCCTACTTTGGGCACTTCCAAAGTGGTAAAAGTGAGAAGCAAAAACAAGTCCTACCCCTAGAAAGAAAAAAAAAATATTTTAAAGCATATTAGCTCATTTCTCATAGGCCTCTACTATCTGAAGGGAGCCCTAGAGAACGAACCCCACTTCTTCCTAACTCTAGCTCTCCGGTTGGGCTGCCTCCCTCATTTGCAGGTGGCTCAAACATAGGACCAGCTTGGAGGCCACCTAAACACTCTGCCCAGAGAGGGCCCAAACCCATGATGCCACTTGTCCAGTCCCCTGTTGGCAGGTAGCCCATATCCCAAATAATTGGGGTCTGTGGGCCAATCCCTCCATGCCATCATCCTAGTCAGTCAGTCTCTCCTTCCCATTCAATCTTCTCCATTCACCCCCACAACAAACTCCATTCATTCCCCTCCTCCCTTTCCTCCTTTTACTTACTGAGGCTTTTTTGTCCAGCCCATTCCCAAAGACAATCTGAAGTACACTTCTCTCCCTACATCTGAAAATAACATTTTATTGAATTCTTACTGTGTCAGGCTTATATGCAGGAACTCATTACAATCTTACACATTTCCACAGGGCACATCACTTCATCCTGCTTTTACTGAGAAATGAACTACTCCAGCTATTTTCTTTTAACCCTCACTAAAGTACATTTTTTCCATTTATTTTCAGATAGAGGGAGGGAGAGGATGAGAGAAATACTGACATGAGAGAGACACATCAACTGGTTGCCTCCCACACAACCCTGACCAGGACCAGGGACTGAACCAAGGCACGTGCCCTTGACCAGAATTGAACTAGTGACTCTCTAGTCCACAGGGTGATGCTCTAACTGCTGAGCCAAACTGGCCAGGGCTAGTCCAGCTATTTTCAACCAGTGTGCCACAAGATTTTTAAAACATGCAATACCTGATGATTTAGTCAGGGGCACTGACCTCTTTTCCCTTAAATTGTCAAATTAAAAAATGACAACAGCCCTGCCCTGGCCAGTTTGGCACAGCGGTTAAGGCGTCGGCCCGTGGCCCTGGCAGGTTTGGCTCAGTGGTTGGAGTGTCAACCTGTGGACCAGAGAGTCCTGGGTTCGGTTCCTGCTAGGGACACATAACAAAAAAAAAAAAAAAGGCATTGGCCCTCGGGTTCGATTCCTGTCAAGGGCACGTACCTCAGTTGTGGTTAGCCCCCCACATGCGGGAAGCAACCAGTCAGTGTGTCCCTCTCATGTTGATGTTTCTCTCTTCCTTCCTTCCTCCCTCCCTCCCTCCCACCGTATCTGAAGATGAATAGAAAAACATCCTCGGGTGAAAATTAAAAAAAAAAAAAAAATGACAACAGCCCTGACTAGTTTGGCTCAGTGGTTAGAGTGTCAGCCCAAAAGGTCTCGGGTTTGATCCCTGGCCCCAGTTGGGGTCTTACAAGAGGCAACCAATCAATCAATGTGTCTCTCTCACCTCGGTGTTTCTATCTAAAAAAAAAAAAAAACCAATGGAAAATATCCTTGGGTGAGGAGTAACAACTCCCCCCTCTTAAAGACAAAATAGAGCCCTGGCCTGTTTGGCTCAGCGGTTAGAGCGTCGGCCTGTGGTACGGAGACACCCGGGTTCGGTTCCCGCTAGGGGCGCGTGCTTCGGTTGCGGTTTGTCCCCGGCCCTGGTTGGTCGTGCGGGTGGCGGCCACTCGATGTGTCCCTTTCACATCGATGTTTCTCTCTCTCTCTCTCTCTCTCCCTCCCACTCTATCTGTACAAAAAAATGGAAAAATGTCCTCAGGTGAGGATAAAAAAAAAAAAGACAAAATAGACAACAGCCAACACAATAGCTGCTTGGTGTGAATGAATCAAAATTACCTTTTTTGGAGTCAAATCAGCAAAATTATTTTTTGGTCTGCCATAGAATTTTAGTTTATGTATGCCATGAGATATAAAAAAAAAAAGGTTAAAAATTGCTGGGTTAGTCAATGGTCTTTGGTCAAGTGGCAGAGCCAGGATTTTTGCCTTGCCTCCTGCCCTCTGCACCACTGCTCTACATTATCCGCTCACAACCAACCAAGGACTTCAGGGAGAGTAATTCCTTTCCTTTAATGCTGGCTGGATGGTTATCTTGGTTGTTGGTATCGGATAAATCTATGGAACTGCTGCCTTGGTGCTTCCCTAGGGGATAGGGCTTCCTATCCCTTCAGTCCCCAAAGATGCTTCTAATGCTGTTCTGACCAAGCATTGGGGGAGGAGGGAATTAAGGGACTGCTGAAATGTCCCCTTTGAGGGATCCTGGAGGGCTGAGTATGAGCATGAGATACTCTCAAGAATGCCCTTTGCCCCAGTCCAGCTCCCTGCTCACTCACCAGCCCAAGGGAAGAAGTACGAGAGGCCAGGGATCTTGTCTGGGGCAAAAGAGTGTGCCATGGAGTCCACCGTTCTCCAGGTCCAGAAAGGAAGGACCTTGCTTGGCACCTAGGCCTGTGCTTGTCCCCTTCCCACTAGTCCCTTAGGTGGTGGGCAGGAATGGCAGCTGGTCAGCCTGACTCGCCTGGGGCCTAAGGGCAGGAGGCAAATGTGGCTCTCCCTCCCTCCACCACCTTGTGGCCTCCCCCCGCCCTCCCTCAGGTTACATAGGTTATCCTGGAGACCCTTTTCCTAGCACTAACCTAGGAAAAGGGGCTGCCCGCCTTGACCTACTCCTTCTCTTCTTCCAGGCCAAGAAGAGAATCACAAATTCAGAAAATAATTTAATAGAGAACAATGAATAACACACTTTACACCAGCCTCGGGCAGGGCAGAAAGAGACTCCCGCCCCAAGGAGGCAGTAAAGAGTGGAAAGGTTAGAAATCACCAACAGCCTCTCAGAGTTTTAAAACACAAACCATCAAATAACCAGGTGTATACATTCTTCTGCAGATAAAGTCACTCTGTCCTCCTAAAAGCCCACGTGGGGGGCGCTAAGGACGAGGAGGTTAAGAGCAATACCAGTGGAGAGATGGGGAGACCCAAGCCCAGAAAGGGAAAGATGCTTGCTCAGGGCACATGCTGGGGTACAGCCATGTCAGACCTGAAAGGTCCCTTGGGCTAGTGGATCCCCAAAACCCGAGGATTCAGGCATCCCCCATACCCCCCCCCCCCCCCGCCCCGTTCCAGGCCAGAATTAACTCTGTAAAAACGAAGGGGTATGCCCTAAAAAGGGATGAAGGCTGGAGGGACGACGATTAAGGACCCCTTTTGATATCCCCTGGGCCAGGGCGAGCAGGCAAAGTTTCTTTGATTTGCCCCATCCTACAAAGTATATTCTTTTCATGACTTGAAGGATTAACTTAAAATACTGCGAGAGGGTGGGCAGGCACCAGCTTCCATGATGACTGGTGAGTTCTTTGGGGCTGAGTGTAGACCACAGGGTGGGTGGTCCCTGAGGGGTCTTAGAGCACCTTGGTCCAGTGCAAGAACAGAAGTGAGGGCTCCCAGGAAGGACAGGGGTGGGCACAGAGTACAGCTGCCCCTTGCCCTCTTCTCAGAGCGAAAACAGAGTCTTGATGCTCCAAACTGATGGACTGAGGGTCCAGTAGCCACTAGTTAACCAAAGTCACATGAAAACACTCTTATCCCAGAGGCCTGCTCCTCTCCTCTGGGGCCAGGCCTGGTGCTCCCAGCACATACAAGGGCTGGGCCATCAGAGCCTTTGTGGGATGAAGAGTACCCTGAAGGGTGTTGGGGACCCTGGGATGCGGTGGTCCCAGAGTTGCTCATCCAGGAAGGCTGCTCTGGCAGGCTGCAGAGAGCCACAGAATTCTGGCTATCAGCTTGGGTGAGTGTGTCCCCCAACTCCAGGTGGCCTGTGGTCTGTCCAGTCATCCTTTCAGGGTCACTGCAGGGTGCAGGCTGTGGAGGGGTAAGGGGGGAGGGTCAGTATCAGGTCTCTGGCAAAAGATGCTGAATCCAGGGCTGCTCTTAGCCCTAACCCCTCCTTGGGCAGAGGGTGGGATCCCAGGGCAGGACTCACAGCTCCGAACAGACTCCAACAGCCCCTCCTTGTCCAGGGTATCGGCTTCCCAGTGAGACTCCCTCATCTGTGGAACATAAAAGTAACACAGGGGTGAGAGGCAGCCAGGGGCAGGCAAAGGAGCAGCATCAACAGCCACTGAGCAACTGGAAGTAAAAGAGACAGCAATGGAGAGGACTTTGGATGGAACCTGGAAAGACACACATACACAGGGGGTAAGGGGAGACAGACAGCTACAAGCAGAGGATCAGAACCCACATAGCCTTGCCCCAATGGTCCCACCATGTGCCCACCTTGACTTGCTCTTTTAGGTATTCAGCTCGAGCCATGAGGTTCTGAACCTGCCAAGAGAAGACACACATGCCCGTGGGTGTGGGGGAGGGGCCTTCAGAGTGAGACCTTCCTCACTCCTACTGCTCTCTAGAACCCTCTAACAACTGCCCTGAGTCCTTTATCTGCTCTGTCCTCCAGAAAGTCTTCCAGACTGAAGCAGCCCAGCCAACTTTCTGTTGTTGGGTTCCCAGATCCTGCCTGTCCCACTGCCTGACCTGAGCTCCCAGCCCCTATGAAGTGCCTGGGGCCACCAACTTATCAGGTCTGTGAGGAGGTCTGCCTCCCAGACTTTAAACACCCCGAGGGAACCCAAGGAGGTCCTCCCAGATGGAAGGAGGGTCAAACTGGAAAGATAAAGCCCCTTCAACCCTCCCAACCCCAGTGGGCACCTCAGTGTGAAGCAGCTCCCTCCTCCGGCCTGGGGGCTCCCCTGCAAAAAGAGGGAGGGTGCGTGGTAAGGGCAGGGCAGCAGGTGCTCAGGGAGTGTGGTGATGAGGGCCTCACCTGCCAGCACCAGCAGCAGCTCCCCCAGGCTGTGCTGGTACAGATCCAGAGCATCCTGCTCCCTGCCAGCTTCCTCCTCCTGCAGCCAGAGACACCAGGTCATTTAGGGTCATGCCCTAGGTTCCTCCTGGTTCCATCTAGACCTCTCCCACTGGGTACAAACCTTGGCCATGGCAGCTGAAGCCACTTCCAAGGCAGCCAGGAGGCGTGGCTTGTCCCGGGCCATCTCTGGGATGAAGGGCAAAGACTCAGGGTGAGAGGAGCAGCTCGTTTTTTTGTCTCAGACAGCCGACTACCTGGGGGACTGGTGGTCAGCCAGGAGCTTGGCCTACCTTTAAGCAGGTCTTGGGCAGAGGCTTCCTGCCTCAGGAGGGCCCGATTGGAGGACACGATGGCCTTGAGCTCCTCAGCCCGGGACACATACTGCCCTACCTGCAGGAGCATGAGGGGCGGAGAAGGGGCTGTGGAGGGGCTGTCCCATTCTGTCTCCCTTGCCAGCACCACCCACATCCAAGTTCTCCCTCTGGGTCCTCAGTGACTGTCCCAAGCTGTAATATCAGGGGCTAGCCTGACCCTTTCCCAGGACAGGAAGTTCCTGTTCAAAGAGAGCCAGTCTCCAGCAGCCCCAGGTCCCTTCATTTGTTTCCTCCAGGGGACTTGCTCACCCACCTTCGCCTTAATTGCCTCCTTCCGCTGAGCATCCACTTCGTCTGTAAACAGTGGTGGTTTATATGAGGACGCTCTAGAATCCTCAAAAGCACTAGATTCCAGATTTACCCTCTGCCTTGTCTCCCATAAAATTCTGGATGGGAAGATGCTTCTGGAATCCACCCACAGCAGTTATGGTTGACCCATCCCTGCTGTGCCCAGGGCTCTACCCACTTACAGTGCAGGGCAGGCACGAAGAAGTCCAGAGCCTTGCAGTACAGAGATAAGGCGGCTGCGGCATCCCCCTCCCGGTCCTTCTTCACAGCCTGCACCACCAGGGTGGTCTGGGGGATAGGGAGATCAGGAGAAATGCCCACCCCTCTGCTCAACATAAAATGGGAAAAGCTGGTCCCCTGAGCCCACCTTCTTCTGCTTGTGAGGCAAGCTACCTGCTTACCACCAAAAGGGGTAGATTAGACCCCTAACCTGCCCTCACTCCAGCCCATCCCTGGTAGTCTGCTTACTGCTCGTGCCAGGCTCTCCCCACTGGGCATGTGCTCCAGGTCCACCCAGGGGTGGGCAAAGAAGTCCTGGAAGGAGATGCGATGGCCGGGGTCCCGCTCCAGGAGCCGCCGCAGTAGGTCCCTGCAGTCTCGGGAGAGCTGGGGCCGAAGGGGGAGCTGAGAGGAGGGTGGGGAACAGGTCACACTGGGCTCCAGAACCTCCACCACCCTATCCTGGTATGTCCCAGAGGTATATGTATGACAGGTGGAGAATCTGAGAGTCAGGAGGAACAGTGAAAAATCAGTGATGAAAACAGTGGAGAGCCAAGCCTCCTGCCCACACGCTCCCTGGGACCCTCAGCTGTCGTAGAACCCTAATTCAGGTTCTTCCCTCCCTAGCTTATGCTCTTGGGAAGGCTGGGCCTTGGTCTACACAACACTCTGTGGGCTGATCTGAGTCCCTACAACTGAATGGAGCTTCAAGCATGCCCAGCACCACAGAGTAGACTGGACCCCACACCCAGTCTGTGCAGGGGTAGTGAGGTCTCCAACCTGAGGGCTCTGACTCCCTCTGCCCCACAACAGGTTGTTGAGGCCCTGTAGGACCCACCTCGATAACCCGGTTACTCCGGATCTTCTCTTCCAGCTCTGAGAACGACCTGGAGGCAAAGGGGGGCTGGCCGAAGAGGGCTTCTGTGGAGGGAGGCAGAGGGCAAGCTGGGAGGAAACAGTGTCCAGCCTGGCCTGGCCCACTCCTGGAAGGGTCTGACACACCCCCAAGCAGGGGCCTGGAGCCATTAGAGTCAGCCTTCTCATTAAGGCCCTTCAGAAGTGGCCAGAGAGGGAATGCCGGAGGACACACAGTGCAGGCCTCACAGGGCGGGGGGCAGGGGACAAAGCTCTCACCATACAGAATGACCCCCACGGACCAAAGGTCCACACGAGCATCGTACTGCCGCTGACACACCATCTCAGGGGCCATGTAGAGAGGGGAGCCACGGAGTACATGCTTCTCATCCCACGGGGACATGTGCTGTGAGAAGCCGAAGTCTGCAGACAAGAGGCCAGGCAGTAGGACTCAAATTCCAGCTGTCTCTGCTCTTGGCCTTTGAAGCCTTCTCCTGCGCTCCAGCACAGGACTCCTCCCCACCTTCCAGACTCACCAGGATCAATCCTACTTCCCAGTATTTGCTCATTATTAACCTCCAACACCCTCCTCCATCTTTCTGTGAGGATATAAATCCTACCTATACTACACAGTCCCCTCAGGCATCTTTTTCCAGAAAGCCCACCCTGCTCATACCAGCTATGAGGGTAATGGCCCACTAGGAGTTAGAACCCTCCCTCACTGTCCACTAAGCTCAGGTTATACCATGGTCTCTGGCCTCCAGTCTCAAGTCAATTTTTCTCCAAATCCTATCAGGGACTACAACCACCCCTTCCCCACCTCACACCCTCCAATACTGCCACAGGTTGAGTCACAGTTTGAGCTCCAATCCTTGTGACACCCCAAGTCCTGACCCTGGTCACACACTGAGTCTTTACCCTAATCCTAACCATTACACTGCTGAAGTTGAGTGTGGGGAGCCTGAGAAAGGTTCTACCTTTTGGTGATGGGGCCTGTTCCTGGTTCTCCCAGCCTGCTGCTGTTTGATGACTCGACAGAGAACCCTCGAACCCTCTACTGAGTGCATACCCACCCTCCAAAACTTGAAGTTCCATTCAGTTCTAAGGACCAAAATCAGCCCACAGATTGTGTGTAGACCCAGGCCTAGCTTTCCCCTGCTGTTGCAGACTCACACCTGCCAGTTTAAGATGGGGCTTCTCCAAGGAGCTCAACAGAATGTTCTGTGGCTTCAGATCCAGGTGAGATATGTTCCGTTCATGCAGAAACTTCAGAGCACTAGCTGGGGAGCAGGACACATACAGAGAAACAGGTCAGAGGGGTCCATCTTCCACCTGCCTCTTGCCTTCCCTGGCTTATATCTACTTCTTCAAGCCTGCATGACACCAGTTCTGGCCTGGCTGGTCTCTTGCTTTACATACAAGTACCAGGTTCCTGCCACTTCTAAGAATTCCCACTCTTACCCACAGTGCTCTCTTTCCTCCCTCAGGCATGTTCACAAGTCTCCCTTCCTCCTAGAAGCCTCCCTGGAGGCCCCAGCCCTTTAGACTCTTGCTTTTTCTCTTAGCAAAGCATTTGGGTACTACCCACTGGACCCTGGAGTGTCCTACAAGGTCTTTCTATTATGTTCCACATGTGGAAAATCTGGACCTCTCACAGATTAGGCTTCTTGCCTGTGTCTCTTGTGACATCTTTTTTTTTAATTTTAATTTTTTAATTAATTAATTTTTGTTACAGATGTTTCTTTTTCCCCCATTGACACCTTCATCCCTGCTCCTGTCCTACAACCCCCCCCCCCCAATCTTCACAGTATTGTCTGTGTCCACTGGTTATGCATACATGAATATAAGTTCTTTGGTTTATCTCTTCCTGCCCTTCTACATCCTCTCCCTTTGAGGTTTGTCGGTCTGTTCCCTACTTCCATGTTTCTGGATCTACTTTGTTCATCAGCTTCTCTCCTAACATCCTTAAGCTAGAGATGAGCACATGGCAAAGACGGGGCCCTATGAATCCAAGCTGGGAAAGGAGGCAACTGCTAAAAGTACAGGATAGAGTGTTGAGGGAGGACAGAGATCATGGGAAGTCTGGGGTCAGAGGCTTTTACCCAACTGCTGCATAAAGACACGAGCCACCTTCTCAGGCAGAATCCGGCGGGTATGGATGAAGCGGGACAGATCACCTCCTGCACAGAACTCCATGATGAGGTAAATGTTGTCACTGTCCCACTGTGGTTAGAGGAAAAGAGGCAGCTTGAAGAGAGTGTCTCTTCTCCAGCCCCCTTTCCGGGTGGCCCCACCACAGGCCCACACCTGGAAGTCTTTTAGCTGCACAATGTGGGGATGTTGAATGCCCTTGAGGATCTCAATCTCTGTCAGGAGGTTTTCCACGGATGCCTTGTTCAGACTCTTCTTGGCCACACACTTAATGGCTACCACCTCTCGAGTGTCCTTCTGTGGGGACAAGAGATTGGAGGGCTCTGCTTGAGGGAGCCAGGGCCCATGCCTGGCCAGAAAGGCTGATTCCCTCTGCCCTTCTCCCCCTCACTGGGCCTACCCACTCACACCAGCATCCAGGCTTCCCAGCTTCCCCTTCTCAAACCAATGAAGCCTCCTGATTCTGGAATCCTGGCCTCCCCACCCAGCCTGGTGTTCTCCAACCCTCTGTCCCAGGAGCCCTTCTTGAGTGCCCCCACTAGGCATGTCATTCAGTGTCCTAGAACTGCCCACTCTGCTTCTTAAGTGGGTCCAGCTCTCAGGAACCCTGTCCAAGACTCCTCCCAGCCCACCAGCTAGCCTCCCTGTTTTGAGCCTTTTTTTTTTTTTTTAATCCTCACCCAAGGATATTCCTCCATTTATCTTCAGATAGAGTGAGAGGGAGGAAGAGAAAAACATCGATGTGAAAGAGATATCAATGGGTTGCCTCCCGCACGACCGACCAGACCCCGGGCTCCCCGATGAACCGCAACCCACGCTCTAACCGCTGAGCCAAAACGGCCAGGGCTTGAGCCTATTCTTAAGCCACTGACACCAGGCTCTATCTCGGTCTCCCCCTACATCTCCAGACAAAACATGGGAGTGTGTACGTGTATTTGTTTTTAAGACTGAAGAGGGAAAGTCCGCTCCTACCTCGTCCACCGACTGGGACATACAGGCTGCGTACCTAACTGCTCTCATGCTGTTTCTAACCTCTCTAGTATCCCAGCCCGGCACCCGCCTGGGCTCGCTCTAGGTCTGGCCGGGCCCTCAGAAGTTCTCCTGCCCCGATTCCCGCCCCGCCCCGCACTCACCTTGGCATAGGCCTTGTACACCGTGGCGTAGGTGCCACTGCCCAGGCGCTCGGTGAGGATGAAGCCGTCCAGCCGCGGAGGGCCCCAGCCCGACCGGGCCATCCTGACCAGCCAGCGCTGGCCACCAGGTACTTCCCGCTTCCCGGTGCGGGTTCCCGACCGGAGTCGACGCGAGGAGCGTGCGCAACGACGGGCTGAACTCCACGCTGCTCCTACTGACGCCCGCCGGAAGTGCAGCGCGGGGGGCGGGGCCAGGCTCCCCGGCCCATGCGACTCGCCCCTGTCGCTGCTTTATGTGCTGCGCTGCTCTGAGTGCTGCACACATCTCCTGGTCTTCACTAACACTAGAAATCATATGATACGCAAGATCGGAGGAAACTGAAGCCCAAAGCTGGCGGAAGGGACAGCTAGAGACCGACAGAGGTCACTGGAAATCCCTCTGAATCCCATCACGTCTAGGATAGGAGCCTAGAGATGCTCATGTGAGGAGCAACAAGGGTGTGGTGGGGGTAGAGGTTTCACAGAGGTCCCTCCCCCCAAGACCAGCAGCTCTGAAAGTGGAATTAGTGGGACATAAATCAAAGTTGCAATTGATCCCCAGTCAGGGCACATACAAGAATCAACCAATGAATGCATGAATAAGTGGAACAATAAATTGATGTTTCTCTTTCTCAGTAATTTTTTAAAAAAATTTAAAGAGCTGGTATGGCTCAGTGGTTGAGTGTGGACCCATGCACCAAGAGGTGGCCAGTTCAGTTCCAGGTCAGGGCACATGCCAAGTTATGGGCTAAATCACTAGTGGGGGGCATGCAGGAGGTGGCCAACTGATGTTCTCTCATCGATGTTTCCTTCTCTCTCCCTCTCCCTTCCTCTTTCTCTAAAAAATCAAAAAAACACAATTTTTAATTTAAAGAGAAAAAAAAATACCATGGAAAAGGCCAACAGTTATCTCAGGAAGGGGCTTTCCCCCAGGGGTTAAGGGTTTGGCCTGTCACAGATCAGCCAGGGGACAGGGAACAGCATCTTGACTGACCCCTCACGCATACAGAGTACCTCAGTCCCTAGTCCTGTGAGCCACCGCCATCATTCCAAGTCCAACAGACTGTTTTGACCAGTGTTGTCTGAAAATGTTTTTATTTAAGCACAAAACTGAAACATAACATATACATTTGTATATGGAGAAAAAAGGAATTTACAAAACCTTGGTTGCTGCCATTAACTTATCATTCAGTGGCTCTGGAGTGGAGTGGGCTGGTAGCCTGAGGGCTGCCTCTGGGTTGGTCAGCTTTTTGAGACATCCCCTCAGTCCACACACCTATTCCTACAGCCTCTGGAGGATAGGGTGCAGGTGTTAATGGTGGACTCCTAGGTGCTCATCATAGTGACACACCTCCTGGGGAATCCCCAGGGCCAGTGGAAAGTGACATAGACTATACTCCTACTCAGGGTATGGGAGAACTCTGGAGGATGAGTCTGGAACCCTGGCTCATCAGTCCAGCCTGAAGGATGCAATTCTGGACTGATTTGCCCTGCCCTTTCTAAAAGTCATATAACCTAGATATTGATGATGTGGGGACAGAGTAAGATGTGAGGCCAAGGCAGAATGCAGTTGTCCCCCAGAAGAGGAAATCAAAACAAACAGGGACAAACAACCCACACCAGGACAGTCACACACGCACCCCTCCCCCACCCCACTCGAAGACTGTTAAAGGTTGGGCAGGCCAACTCAGGGTTGGTCTCTGTCCCTTCCCATCCCCAATGCACATTCAGTAAGTCTAAAGGAAGGGCTCAGAGAGGACCCCAGATTGCATAGGGTGCTGCCCACACCAGGAAGGTGCAGGGGGCCGATAAGGCTATGAATCTGTTTGTGAGAAACATGAGGCAGGGCAGTGGCTGAGGAACCAGGCCAGGGGCTCTGGAAGCCCAAATACCTGTCCAGAGTAATCGAGGGAACAGAGCTGTCCACCAGCCCAGACTGAAGTCATTTAAAGGAGAGCCCTTGGGAGGTCATCCCAGCCCAACAGGAAGGGAGGATAGGATTATGGAAGCCACAAGCTGGGTCTGTGCAGCCAGATTCAGGCCAGGATGCTGGGGGAGTAGTGGGAGGCTCAGGACGCTGGCAGAAATACAACTCCAGGACGCAGGTCAGCCGGTGATCCCAAGTGTGTACGTGTGTGTAGAGGAAAGAGAACTTCAGTCCACTGCTTCCAGAGACAAAAGAATCCTACCAAACCACCACCAGAGAAGAAAAAACTTTTTTTTTCTTTTCTCTTGTGTAAAAAAGACCCTGTCCCTCCCTCCCCTTCCCTTGGGTGGAAGGGAGTGCTGGTTGCTAAGGAAGGAAGAAAAGCCATGGCAAGGCCCTCCCCAGGTCTGTGCTGGCCATAGCACTGCTTAAGGCACCCACAGAAAGTGCAGCTCAGAAGGCAGGCAAGAGAAAAGGATGGGGCAGAGGGAGGAGAGTCAGGAAGACTAATTCCCCTGGAAGGCTCCTTGGGCAGCAGATGAGGCAGCGCTGCGGAAGGTCCTATTGCTGAAGATGCCCTGGGAAAACTCCTCTTGGGCCTGCTGGAAGCTGGCCCCCGTCCGACGGTACAGGGAGTGCACCTGGGGGAAAAGGCTGTGGTCAGAGAAGCCCAACCTGTGGGCCCACAAGGAACCCAAACCTGCCTCACCTCCCACCCAGAGCCTTGGAGAAAAGCCACTGGACATTTTGGGACTCAGGAAACCCAACCGCTGTAGTGATGAACATCCCCATGGCAAGGCAGGAGAGAGGTACCTGCTTCCTCAGGTTTGCTGTTGGCCCAGCACCCACCACTCACCCGCTTTAGAAGGAAGAGTGAGAGCAGGGCACAGAGGGTGAAGAAGCCAGCCACAACCATCATGATGATGGACACAGCCAAGTCTTGGTGCAATGTAGACAGGGCTGCAATCCAACCACTACAGAGAGAAGAGGAGGTCAGAGAGGGTATAATAGGAGTGGGCCCCAGAGGTCCCATGAGGGGGTCTTCTCCAAGTGGCTGCTGTATGCTGACCACCACCCAGGCCGATAGGCCCCACACTGTCTACATGGAATCTTTGGGTCATGTGAGGTCTGGAAGGGATGTGGCTGCTAACCTCAGGAGTAGCACTGGATCGGACCTTTTCCTGTTGCTTTGGGGGTTATGGAAACATGAAAGCATGGCTGCTCACTCCTGAGGGCCCACCCTCTGGAAAGAACTACTGGCCAATCCAATGCAATGATGCTATCACCTCAGCTCTTCCCACTAGGGCCAGGGACAGCCTCCTCTGGCTCTAGTCATGTCTCCTTCCTGAGCCCCAGCCTTTTCACCTATAAAAGGAGATATTCTCACACTTCATGAGTTAAAAACTTACTACAAAGCTATACTTACCAAAACAGTGTGGAACTGGCATGAGGACAGACATATACAATATAGAGGTTGATGGAATAAAATTAAGACTCTAGAAATAAACCCACACATTTATTGTCAACCAGTGCCAAGACTACTGAATGGGGAAACAATGGTCTCTAAAGTGCTGGGCACTGGCCAGTGTGGCTCATTTGGTTGGGAGTCATCCCAGGCATTGAAAGCTTCCCAGTCAGGGTACACATCCAGGTTGCAGGCTTAATCCCCAGGAGGGGGCATGCAGAAGGCAGTCGATCAATGTTTCACTCTCATTAGTGTTTCTTTCTACCTCTCACTTCCTCTTTCCAAAAATCAATAAAAAATCTTTTTAAAAAAATGGTGCTGGGCCCTGGTCAGTATGGCTCACTGGTTTAAGTGTTGGCTCATGCACTGAAGCGTCACGGGTTTGATTCTCAGTCCAGGGTATGTACCTGGGTATTGGGTTTAATCCCTAACCCTGGTTGGGGTGCATGCAGGAGGCAACCGATCAATGAGTCTCTCTCACATCGATGTTTCTCTCTCTCTCCCCACCTCCTTTCCTCCCTTTTTCTCTTCTACTCTCTCTACGAATCAATGGAAAGCCCTGGCTGATTTGGCTAATGGTTAGAGTGTTGGCCTGCGGACCAGAGTCCTGGGTTTGGTTCCAGCTAAGGGCAGATACCTCAGTTGCAGTTCATCCCTGGCCCGTTGGGGTAGTGTGGGTGGCAACCAGTTGATGTGTCTCTCTCACATCAATGTTTCTCTCTCTCTCCCTCTCCCTCTCTCCCTCCTGCCCTCAGGTGAGGATAAAAAAATAAATAAAAATCAATGGAAAAAATATCCTCAGGTATGAGGATTAACAACAAAATTAATTCAAAATGGATCAATGACCTAATAATAATAACTCAAACTATAAAACTCTTAGAAGAAAACAGAGGTAACTCTTCATGACCTTAGATTGGTAATGGTCCTTAAATATGACACCCAGCTCTGGCCAGTTTGGCTCAGCAGTTAAGAGTGCTGGCCCTCAGAATGAAGGGTCACAGGTTTGATTCCTGGTCAAGGGCACGTGCCTGGATTGCACGTTTGATTTGTGGCCCTGAATGGGATCGTGCGGGAGGCAACCAATCGATGTGTCTCTCTGACAATCATGTTTCTCTCTGTCTCTCCGCCCCCCCACCTCCTTCTCTCCCAATCTAAAAAAAAAAAAAAAAAAGAAGAAGAAGAAAAAATATCCTCAGGTGAGGATTAACAACAACAAATACACACACAAACACGTGTGTGTATATATATACATATGTGTGTGTGTGTGTATATATGACATCCAAAGTATAACAAAAGAAAAAAATAAACTGCACATCATCAAAATTAAAAACTTTTGTACATCACCCAGTCGGTGTGGCTCAGTGGGTGAGCATCGACCCATGCACCAAGAGGTCGCAGGTTTAATTCCCAGTCAGGGTACATGCCCAGGTTGTGGGCTCAGTCCCCAGTAGGGGGTGTACAGGAGGCAGCTGATTGCTGTTTCTAGCTCCCTCTCCCTTCTTCTCTCTCTAAAAATCAATATAAACATTAAATACAATCTCCCACCAAGAAAAATACTTTTGTACATCAAAGGACACGACAGAGAATGGAAAAACAGAATAGAAAAAAAAAATGTAAATTACATACCTGATAAGAGCTAGTATCCAGAAAATATAAAGAATTCAACAACAAAAAGACTACCCAGCCCGGCCAGTGTGGCTTAGTGGATTGAGTGCTGTCCCATGCACTGAGAGGTCCCAGTTTCATTCCTGGTCAGGGTACAAGCCCAGTTTGCAGGCTCAATCTCCAGTAGGGGACGTGGAGGAGGCAGCCAACTGATGTTTCTAACTCACATCGATGTTTCTCTTTCCCTTCCTCGCTAAATAAATCAATAAAAACATTAAAAAACAACAAAAAACCACAATGAGCCCTGGCCAGGTAGCCCAGTTGGTTACAGCGTCGTCCTGTACACCAAAAAGGTGTGAGTTCGATTTCCAGTCAGGACTCATACGGAGGTTATGGGTTCGATCCCCACAGGCAACCAATCAATCAATGTTTCTCTCTTTCTCTATCACCCTCCCTCCCTCTCTGAAAAAATCGAGTAAAAACATATCCTCAGGTGAGGATTAAACAAACAAATCCCATAATGAGATATCGCATTTCTAGGTTGGCTATAATAGAAAAGAGCCCTGGCCTGTTTGGCTCAGAGGTTAGAGCATCGGCCCACAGATCAGGGAATCACAGGTTCGATTCCAGTCAAGGGCACGTATCTCAGTTGTGGCTCGGTCCCCGGCCCTGGTTGGGGTCGTGTGGGAGGCAACCAGTTGATGTGTCTCTCTCATGATCATGTTTCTCTCTCTCTCTCTCTCTCCCCCTCTCTCTCCCTACCACTCCATCTGAAAATAAATAGAAAAATATCCTTAGATGAGGATTAAATAAAAAAGTGGAAAATAACAAATCTTGGCAAAAATGTGGAGAAACTGGAATCCTCATACACTGCCACTGGGAATGTAATATGGCCACTGTGGGAAACAATTTGACAGTTCATCAATAAATTAACCATAGGCACTGGCTGGTTTGGCTCAGCAGTTAAGAGCATCAGCCTGCAGACTGAAGAGTTGCAGGTTCAATTCCTGATCATGGACATGTACCTCAGTTGTGGGTTTGATCCCCAGCCCTGGTCAGAGTTGTGCAGGAGACAACCGATAGATGTGTCCCTCTGACATTGATGTTTCTCTTTCTCTCTCTCTCCTTCCCTTCCACTCTATCTAAAAATCGATGTAAAAATATCCTCTGGTGAGGATTAACAAAACAAAACAAAAAAGAGCATCACAGGAAAATAAAAAATAATAAATTACACACAGATTACCACATGACCCAGCAACTCCACTCCTAGATACAAACCCAAAAGAACTGAAAACAGGTACTCAAAAACGTGTACACAAATGTTTGTAGCAGCACTATTCACAACAGCAAAAAGGTGGAAATAACCCAAATCACTATCGCTGATAAGTGGATCAACGAAATGTAGTATATCCAAACAACTGAATACTATTCAGCCATAAAAAGGAAGAAAGTCTGATCTATGCTACAACATGAACCTTGAAAACATCATGCTTAATGAAGCCAGACACAAATCCAGAGAGAGAAAGCAGTTTAATGGTTACCAGGGGCTCAGGGAAGGAGGGAATAAGGAGTGTTTGCTAATGGGTATGGAGTTTTCTTCTAGGGTGATAAAAATGTCCTGGAACTGGATAGTGGTAGTGACTGCACAGAACTGAAAATATACTAAATGCCATTGAATTGTATATTTTAAAATGGTTTAAGTGGAAGGAAATAGTAAAGATAGCAGAAATAAACCACATAGAGACCAAAAAAACAATTCAAAGGATTAATGAAACAAAGAGCTGGTTTTTCGAAAAGATAAACAAGATCGATGGACCCTTAGCTAGACTCACCAAGAAACAAAGAGAGAGAACCCAAATGCACAAAATCAGAAATGAAAGAGGAGAAGTAACAACTGCCACCACAGAAATACAAAAGATCGTTAACAACTACTATGAACAATTATATGGCAACAAATTCGACAATCTAAGCAAAATGGACAAATTTCTAGAAACACATAGTCTCCCAAAACCGGACCAGGAAGAGATAGAAAACTTGAACAGACCAATAACAACAGAAGAAATTGAAGATATAATCAAGACTCTCCCAGCAAACAAAAGCCCAGGCCGGGATGGCTTCACGGGGGGGGGGTTTTACCGAACATTCAAAGAAGAACTAACACCCATTCTCCTCAAACTATTTCAAAAAATTCAAGAAGGATGACTTCCAAACTCGTTTTATGAAGCCAGCATAATTCTAATTCCAAAACCAGAAAAAGACACTACAAAGAAAGAAAACTACAGGCTAATATCCCTGATGAACAGAGGCCAAAATCCTGAACAAAATACTAGCAAATCAGATCCAGCAATACGCCAAAAAATTATCCACCATGACCGAGTGGGATTCATCCCAGGGATGCAAGGCTGGTACAATATTTGCAAATCAATAAACGTGATACACCACATAAATAAAATGAAGAATAAAAACCACATGATCGCCCTGGCCGGTTTGGCTCAGCGGTTAGAGCGTCGGCCTGCGGTCCTGAGAGATCCGGGTTCGGTTTCCGCTAAGGGTGGGTTCGGTTCCTGCTAAGGGCACGTACCTCGGTTGCAGTTTGTCCCCGGCCCTGGTTGGTTGTGCGGGTGGCAGCCACTCGATGTGTTCCTTTCACATCGATGTTTCTCTCTCTCTCTCTCTGTTCCTCTCTCTCCCTCCCACTCTACCTGAACAAAAAAATGGAAAAATGTCCTCGGGTGAGGATTAAAAAAACAAACAAACAAACAAAAAAAACACATGATCATATCAATAGATGCCGAAAAAGCTTTCGACAAAATCCAGCATCCATTTCTGATAAAAACGCTCAGCAATGTGGGAATAGAGGGATCATATCTTGACATAATAAAGGCCATATATGAAAGACCTACAGCCAGCATCATACTCAATGGGCAAAAACTAAAAGCATTTTCCTTAAGAATAGGAACAAGGCAAGGATGCCCACTTTCGCCACTTTTATTTAACATAATACTGGAAGTCTTAGCCACAGCAATCAGACAGGAAGAAAAAATAAAAGGGATCCAAATTGGAAAGGAGGAAGCAAAACTGTCATTATTTGCAGATGACATGATACTATACGTAGAAAACCCTAAAGACTCCATCAAAAATTTACTAAACTTGCCCTGGCCGGTTTGGCTCAGCGGTTAGAGCGTCGGCCTGCGGTCCGGAGAGACCCGGGTTCGGTTCCCGCTAAGGGCACGTACTTCGGTTGCAGTTTGTCCCCGGCCCTGGTTGGTCGTGTGGGTGGCAGCCACTCGATGTGTCCCTTCACGTCGATGTTTCTCTCTCTCTCTCTCTCTTCCTCTCTCTCCCTCCCACTCTATCTGTACAAAAAATGGAAAAATATCCTCGGGTGAGGATAAAAAAAAAAAAAAAAAAAAAATTTACTAAACTTAATAAATGAATTTGGCAAAGTAGCAGGATACAAAATTAACGTCAAGAAATCGATGGCATTCTTATACACCAATGATGAACTCACAGAAAGAGAAACTAAGAAAACAATCCCATTTACCATTGCGGTAAAAAAATTAAGATACCTAGGAATAAACTTAACCAAAGAAATAAAGGACCTATTCGCAGAAAACTACAGGACATTGTAAAAAGAAATAGAGGAAGATATAAAAAAGTGGAAGCACATACCTTGTTCATGGATTGGAAGAATTAACATCATTAAAATTTCCATATTACCCAAAGCAATCTATAGATTCAATGCAATCCCCATCAAAATACCAACGGCATACTTCACAGAACTAGAACAAGTACTTCAAAAGTTCATATGGAACCAAAAAAGACCTCGAATAGCCACAGCAATCTTGAAAAAAAAGAACAAAGTTGGAGGGATCACATTACCAGATTTTAGGTTATACTATAAAGCCACTGTAATCCAAACAGCCTGGTACTGGCACAAGAACAGGCATATAGACCAGTGGAACAGAACAGAGAACCCAGAAATGGACCCAAGGTAATATGCTCAATTAATATTTGACAAAGGTGGCAAGAGCATACAGTGGAGTAAGGACAGCCTCTTTCATAAATGGTGCTGGGAAAATTGGACAGCTACATGCAGAAAAATGAAACTAGACCACCAACTTACACCCTACACAAGAATAAACTCAAAATGGATAAAAGACTTAAATGTGACTCATGAATCCATAAAAATCCTAGAAGAAACTGTAGGCAACAAAATTTCAGACATTATACGCAGCAGAATTTTCACTGATACATCTCCTAAGGCAATAGAAACAAACAAAAAAAATGAACACATGGGACTACATCAAACTCAAAAGCTTCTGCACAGCGAAAGATACAATCATCAAAACGGAAAGGCTACCCACTGTATGGGAGAGCATAATTGCCAATGATATATCAGATAAGGGGTTAATTTCCAATATATATAGAATGCTCATACAACTCCACAAAAGGAAGACAAAGAACCCAATTAAAAAATGGGCAGAGGAACTAAATAGACACCTCTCCAAACAGGACATACAAATGGCTAAGAGACATACGAAGAAATGCTCATCACTAATCATCAGAGAGATGCAAATTAAAACAACAATGAGGTATCACCTCACACCTGTCAGAATGGCTGCCATCAACAAATCATCAAACAACAAGTGTTGGCGAGGGTGTGGAGAAAAGGGGACTCTAGTACACTGCTGGTGGGAATGCAGACTGGTGCAGCCACTATGGAAAACAATATGGTGTTACCTCAAAAAATTAAAAATTGAACTTCCATTTGACCCAGCGATCCCACTTCTAGGAATATACCCTAAGAAGCCTGAAACACCAATCAGAAAGAATATACGTACTCCCATGTTTGTAGCAGCACTATTTACAATAGCTAAGATCTGGAAACAGCCCAAGTGTCCATCAGCAGACCAATGGATAAAAAAGCTCTGGTACATATACACAATGGAGTACTATGCAGCTGTAAGAAAGAAAGATCTCTTATCCTTTGAGATGACATGGAGGGACCTGGAAAGTATCATCCTAAGTGAAACAAGCCAAAGCGAGAAAGACAAGTATCATATGATCTCACTTATTTGTGGAATATAATGAACATAACAGTCTGAGGAATGGGGTAGTCCCAGAGACGTGGAAGTGGGGTACAGACTGACAATCCCCAGAAGAGGGGGTGGTGGGGGAGAGATAAACCACAGAACTTATATGCATGTATGCATGAACAGTGGACATGGACAACAAAGTGGGGACGGGGCAGGGGGAGAGGGGGAGAGGGGAATCAGTGAGGGAAAAAGGAGAAACATCTGTAACAAAAATTAATTAATAAAAACATAAATAAATAAAATAAAATAAAAATGGTTTAAGTGGTACATAAAATGATATATTTTACATTATGTATATTTTACAATCGAAAGGGAGTATTATGAGGTGAGATGAGAAAGGTATTGAGAGGCTGGAGGCTGCAGAGCTCATCCAAGTAGGCCTAGGCAGGGCAGTAAGGGGCGGACCCAGGACCAGAAATCAAGCCTTGTGACTCCTTGTCCAGAGTGCAAAGTGCAGTTTGTTTGTTTTTTAATTTTATATATTTATTTTATTATTATTTTTTTTAATCCTCACCTGAGGACATTTTTTTGCATTTATCTTCAGATAGAGTAGGAGGGAGAGAGGGGGGAAGAGAGAGAGAGAAACATCAATGTGAGAGAGACACACCGACTGGTCACCACCCACACGACCCCAACCAGGGCCGGGGACAAACTGCAATCGAGGTACATGCCCTTAAGCGGGAAACAAACCCGGGACTCTCTGGTCCGCGGGCCAACACTCTAACAGCTGAGCCAAACCAGCCAGGGCATATTTATTTATTTATTTTTTAATCCTCACCTGAGACTACTTTTCCTTTTTTTTTTTTTAATTGTATTTTTTTAGATAGGAAGGGAGGAAGAGAGAAGAGAGGGAGAGAGAGAGAAACATCGATGTGAGAGAGACACACTGACTGGTTGCCTTCTGCATAACCTAGACGGGGTCGGGGATCAAACCCGCAACCAAAGTACATGGCCTTGACCAGGAATCAAACCCATGATTCTTTGGTTCATGGGCCAACGCTCTAACAGCTCAACCAAACCAGCCAGGGCCATAGAACAGTTATTAATCAAAGCCTTTCTATCAGGGTCTCACTTAGGGTAATGAGTAATGTAACTGGGTCACCAAACAAAAAGAAAAGAGGCCAGATTATAAACAAGATGAAAAAAGGGGTGGTGGGAGGGCAGCATGCACTTGGCTCTGAGTTGGAGATGAGACAGCCCCCTCCCCACTGCTCTGGACTTGTCAGCTCTACTGGAGAGATGGGACCAAAATAGCACAGCCCTTCCAGGCTCAGGCTTTCAGCCAAGTGCCAGCCTGACCTTTCTGTAATGTTCCCTGTGCACTGAGGCAAAAGGAAAACATCAACCATCAGCTTTGCTTTCTGAGATTAATTTTGAGTGGAGGACTGCAGCACCCAGAAAACTCAAGCCAGCTGTATGCTCAAAGAGAGCAGCCAGAGGACCCATCCAGGAGAGGCTAGGGCTTCATCTCCTGAGGTTACAGGGCCTCTGGAAAACGTCACAGCTCAGGGTCTGCAAAGACCAGGGCATCCATCAGCAGCTGCCCAAACCCAAGGGCAAGTCTGGAACCTGTGGAAGTAGTACCAGCTTCTAGGAGGGTATGACCAGAGAAAAGAAAGAGGCTGCAATCTAGTACAGGACACAGAGAATTCAGGCCAAGTTCACCCATAGATACCCCAGAAAGTGGTAATCAAGGCAAGACCGTGAGTGGCTACTGGTGAGAAACTGGAGAGGGCCTGAAGGCAGATCCAAGCTGGCCCAGTTACTGCTCTCTGTGCCATGGTGAAAGAGGGTCATCTGTAGGGTCTCTCAGAGGTTGGCAAACAGGGTGAGAGACACTGAGCTGAGCCTTCAAAGCATAGTTCCCTTTGTACTACCCCCGGGCTCACCTGTCCCCCAGGCTAGGGATGCCGACCAACTGGATGACATAGATCCCTATTTGACAAAAAAATACAAAGAAGAACACGAAGAAGCTGAAAGAGTTGTCAGACCTGTGGAGAGAAGGGGAAAACCAGAAATCATAAGAGGCCTTGGAACCCATTCCTCAGCATTCCTCACATGGTCTGATATTCCTCCTCACTAGAAGCCAGGAGGCAGAATGGGAGAGCAAACAGAGCACCAGAGGCTCAGTCAGTGTGTGTCTACAACGACACACACTATAATAAAAAAGGGCTTGCCTTTTCACTGCCTTCCAATGCTTGACCCCTTCCTCAAAGAGTCAATAAAGTTGCTTACTCAAAGGACAATATGAAGAGTTTAACAGTTCATCTCTTGGGGTACTTGTCTGCATTTCATAACAGGGAAGAAAACCTAAGCCAAAGGTATATAAACCTCTAATAATACAACTGTAGGCCTGAGCGGCAAAAAAGGTATTTGGGGAGTAGCAAACACTAGATAAAATTGGTGTTTTAAGTACCTCCATTTCCATGTCCTCGAGGGCTAGAATACAGTGTGGGTTGAGGTCCCACCTGCTGAGTGCATGGAGGGGGTTCAGCCACTGCCCTGTCCTCTCTTTCTGGAGCCTGCTGGACTCCCAGCCCTGAAAGTATTAGCTCTGAGGCACAACTCCAAATGCCCTAGGAGTCTGTGAAGTGGATCCATTAAAGTCCACAGTATCTATTCTAGGTCAACTGGTTAAATATTGGCATTCAGCAATGCTCCACAGTTACTAGGGAGATAGGGAGAGGGGCATAAGTAAGCAAGCAGAGAGAGAAGTCATTAAGAGTGTATCTGAGTCTGATTCTATCATAGAAGCACACACTAGAGCAGTGATTTTCAACCCTTCTCATCTCATGGCACATATAAACTACTAAAATTCTGTGGCGCACCAAAAAACATATTTTTTTGTCAATCTGACAAAAAAAGAAAAAGGTATAATTTTGATTCATTCACACTGAATAGCTACTATTGTGTTCACTGTTGTCATTATTTTATTGACAATCTAAGGAAAAAGAGGTCAGTGCCCCTGACTAAATAGAGAAGCACTGCATATTTTAAAATTTTCTGCAGCACACCGGTTGAAAATCGCTGCCCTAGAACTTCAGAAGAGAGCTAGGAAGTCCCTTCCCTTTTCCCAGTGACTGAAATCCTTTTGCACCAAACAGACTGGGTGCAGTAGAAGGACAAGTAAGGCTCCTGTACCTCTCTCTTGGTCTCTTTTCCTAGTCTAAGGACAGGGCCCAGAATAGACCTCAAATACGAGTGAGGAAACTGCCTCCTAATCCCTGACAACTCTGGGCAGGAATGGGAATTTCCCATGATTCTATTCTGCTCTTACTGGAATGGGGCCCTAGGGCTCATGGCCCTTGGCTCGCTACCTGGGATGTCAGCCATACACTCCCCCCTCACCCCAGTCCCGCTTACCTGAAGGCCTTATAGATGGGTCGGTACCAACAAAGGAAGGCACAGGGGGTGAAGATCACAAACCACAGGATTGAGAGGCCAAAGTCCACGCCCTTGCTGCTATCGACTAAGAACCAGGCCAGGCAGGCAAGCAGATTCAGAAACAGAGTCACTGAATGCACTGTGGAAGTGGGGGAGACAGATGTGGGCTGATGCCAAGGTGGCTGAAGGGCTCCCAGATGTGGCAAACCACCCCCTGGAGAGGAGAGGAGGTCCATGCTGTCAGGGAAGCTGCCTGTACCCAGGCAGGACTAGCTCCCATCTTCCTTTTCTGGGACCTCAAAACCAGGGACCCAACCAAGCTTCTAAGATATGATGGGACAGCCCAGGTATTTAAGGGGTGGCCATGGATAGCCCACAGGGAAGCAACAGGGAGTCTTTTATCCTCACTCCTAAATAGCCCAGGGATCTGTAGGGAGGAGAGGCCTTCACCTAAAGAGGACCTTTTAGTGCAATGAGCTCCACAGGAACTCAGAAACCTCCAGCTGGTCCTACCCAACTTGATTCATGATCTGGACTTGCTCTTGAAAGGAGGTTCCCAGGACAGAGAGCAAACTTCAGAGTGCCAATTATGTGGGTAAAGGTCCCCCACCCCAACCCAACTTGCACTGAGGAAGGCTAGAGTCTGCCAGGTAGGAGCAACCAGAGCATAGATAGGGCTCTCAAGACACAGCCCATTTCAGCCTTGAGCTCAGAGGGGCAGGAGCTGGACTCACACATCCAGAGATAGTAGAGCATCTTGCATATCCGCTGATAGTCAGCAGGGATCTCTGTGGAGAAGTCCTGATAGAAGCAGGGCTTGACAGGGCACCACAAGGGCAAGGGCGGCCAATTGTTCTCTCTCACTGTGTAGAAAGAGATGATGAGATGAGGCCCAGCTTCAGCAGCAGCAGGGCACAGTGCACATGCTGGCCCCGTTTATGGGCCAACCCAAGACCCCCAGAGGGGCACCGGTAAGCAGGGCCCAGAGTTTTCATGGGTATAAAGTAGGAAGGAAAAGGATGATGGGACATAAACATCCACAAGCTCAGTCCAAGATAACAGACTCAAATGCACTGAGAAACACAGAGCTAAACAGCCTAAGTGATTACTTTTTTGAACAGCCTATAACCAAGGAATCGTGGCACCAGTGCCCCCACTCTATCAAAAAACTTTACAGCTGGAAAGAAGTACAGAAATAATCTACACCCATTAAGGTTACACTACAGGTCTCCTGATTTCACCTTACTGCTCGCCCCAGGACCAGCACCATTCTAAGATGATCAAGAGCTCAGCAAAGACTTGAGGCTGCCCCAGGAACAAGCAGGCTGAGGAAACTCTCCTGGTAACACAGGACCTCAGGTGGCCTCCCTTACCATGTAAGTTGGCCACAGTGTTCTGTAGCTCTCGTTCCTTGCGTTCTAGCTCGGCTGCTTTCCTGTCCAGTTCTTCCTGTTGCCGGAGCAGGCTTGCCTGGGCTGCAGAGGCCACAGCCTGGAGCCAAACAGGGAAGCAGGAGGCAGCCGAACATGAAAGATAGAGGGACAGTGTTGACCTGACAGGAAGTCACAGGGCCCATGCCCCACACAGGGACAGCCATCTGGAAGTCCCAGAGGCAGTCCCAATCCCCAATGTCTTGGTTATCTGAGACCACCACAGAGAGGCCAAGGTGACCTGTCCCCCACTGCCCTTACAATACCTCTGACCCCTTTGCCATTACCAGGGTTTTCCTCTCCCCTTCATTCTGAAGCTTGAGATAGGAGAACCATCTTCCATACTGTAGTCCAGGCCAAGTTAAATTATACTGACTTTTGGGGTGATAGCAAAGGGCAAAAGGCCTCACAACAGACTGCACTGTAGTCAGACACCCAGAGATCCAAGCTTCGCCTGAAGAGCCTGGAGGGTGTGTATGTGAAGGGAAACAGTGTAAATCTGCTAGGATGAGTCGGGAGAGGAGGCACTTGAGGCCATACTGTGTGTACCTGGAACCTGAGAGATGTATATTCAAGCACCTTCACCTGCTCCACTCCCAGGAACTGCCCTGAGGTCCACCTGTACTGTGAATGGCTACATCCCAGGACAGTTCCTTAGGGTTGGCCTGCTCTGCCTGGCTTTCACAGCATGCAGAGTTCAAGTTTTAACCCCTCTCCATGCAGAGCAGGGCGTCCAAGTGACACAGCTAGGGAATTCTACATGAGGCTGAGCAGAGCTGGGCCCAGAGTTCCAGCCTATAGTCCTGCTCCTGCTGGGTGCTGCAGTTACTGGAGCCCAGTTCCTCCAGAAGTCTACAGTCCTTTTTTAGGGAGCAAATACCAAAGTGGTTATCTCACAGGCATAGGTGTACATATGTATGTGTGTCCCCTCTCTCTCTCTCCAAAATAAGTTCTCCATTAAGGAGGTAAATTTTGGGCACTTAGGGGTATAAGCAGGACCATAATTGATCACTGTAAGGGTCTTAGCCTATTTCCCCAAGTCAGTGACTTCAGGTGAGCTGGATCCAGGACTCACTACCCAGTTGAACAAGAAAGTGTCCTCTGCCTCTAAGCCTTGCCTCATAGGGCTGTGGGTGGGGCTCAGGGTCCTAGGGTTCCATGCAGGGGCAGTACTTTCAGAGTAAGTCTGGTCAGATGATGGGAGCAGTCTGGGGCCCACTAGAGTCCAATGTCTAGCTTGGCAGGCTCCAGGCACCTCGCCCTCACTCACGCTCACCTATACTTTGCCTACCTTCGGAAGCTTTTTCATGTAGCTGTCTCTGAGAATACTATCTCCTCCTAGTAGCATCTGCCTCTCTGAGAGCTTGCTCACTGCCAGGAATCTGGTAGGCAGGAATTTGCTGGCCTGTCTAAGCAGGAGCTGCAACATACAACTCCACTGTGGGTCATGCTCACCAGGGGCAGTGAGGAGCGTGGGGTAGAACAGTGAGGCAAGGGGGTGGAAAGTTGGGTACCAAACAGACAAGATTCACAGTAATTATTGAAGGGACAAAGGAAAATAAGAAGGAAGACAGGAATAAATGAGGTTAGATTTCAGGCCCTGAGTAAGAAAAGGCCCCAGAAGGACCTGGAATGGCGTGACGGGCAATGTTTTGTCTGAAGACACCCAGGAGCCCAGACTAGTGAGTAGGGCTTATTTTTTCTTTTTTTCGTACGTGCCCCTAGTGGGAACCGAACCCGGGATTCTCTGGTCCACAGGCCAACAGTCTAACCGCTGGGCCAAACCAGCCAGGGCAGGGCTTATTTTTTCTAGTGCTGCCATTGAGGTGGGGGGAGGGTTAGGTGAGCAGACCCTCCACATGCAAGTGACAAGCTCCAAAGAGATTATCAAGAGGGCCCTTGAAGGAGAGCCAGAGAATAAGGCCCTCTGCCCACCACTCGATCTCAGGACTCAGCTACTAGTCTGGGTGCTTCCCTTTCTGGAAAGGAGAGGCAAAAGGGATCTTTGTCAACAGTACCTGGGGGGTTGGCTGGGTTGGTTCCACTGAGGGCTGGAGAACTGCTGGCTGCGAGGGCCCAGGGAGCTGGGTGACAGGAACTGTTGTTGCTGCATTTGTCTGCTTGGGGAAGATCAAAGGAGCAAGTGAGACTCCACCAGTTGGCCATGTGGGAGCAAACCCACAGTAGGGTGAGTGATGTGCTCTTCCTATGAGGAGTACTCCCTCTGGGCCTCCCTCTGTAGCTTCTTGGCCAACAAGCCTCAAGCTCTGGGCAATGATGCCTAACCCAGCACCCCTGACCTTTTTGGATCCAGAGATCCTGGCACTGCCCTGCTCTCTTCAGGAAAGAGCCCAGATCATGAACCTCAAGGAGAGGACTGGTGGCTTCCTCATCTTAACCCCACCCCTCAAGTTCACATTAAGACTATCCCTCTGAGAACTGCTGATTCTCAGAACACTCTGTCTTGCCAAGGCTCCTTGCCCCAGAGACCCCAGCACCATCCAGAGGACCCGGGGACTCAGAAAGAGGACACGCTCACCAACCTCTGAGAAGGGGTTAAATTCAGCTAGGCCACCTTGTGGGGCACTGGTCAGCTGGGTCACAGAGGGATCCTGAGAAGGTGAAAAAGAGCCATTAGATGCTGAGGAGAAAAGAGAACCTTAGTGAAGAAGGGACATCACCATCTCAAGGCCAGCAGGCAATCCCATGATGCCGGCTGAAGCGAGGAGGCTGATGGCCCTTACTAGTGTCCTGAGCAGCCTCTTCTGAAGGCTCCTGTGCCCAACCACTGCCACATAGAGCTGCAATCTCTTTTCCTTTTCTGGAAAAATAGGGGTTCAGTCCAGATGACTTCCAAGAAGAGATAAAAAGCAAGCTTTACACTCTGAGGCCTGGGAATCACCACTATACATGTTCTTGTTAGTACCCTTTCTAGATTCGTAACAGTTCATAGAATTTACCTCCAGGGAGTGGGGTTTTTTGGTAGGGGTGGTGGTGAATGGGTGGAAATTTTTCACTTTATAACCTTTCTGTAATGTTTTATTTACTATTTTATTCCTTTTATTTTTAAATCCTCACCCAAGGATATTTTTCTATTTATCTTCAGATAGAATGGGAGGGAGAGAGAGAGAAACATCGACATGAGTGGGACACATCGACTGGTTACCTCCCACACGACACTGACCAGGGCCGGGGAAAAACCACAACTGAGGTACTCACCCTTGGCCGGAATTGAACCCAAGACTCATTGGTCCACGGGCCAACACTCTACTGCTGAACCAAACCAGCCAGCGCTATTTTATTCCTCTTTTTTTTTTTTTATCCTCACCCGAGGACATTTTTCGATATTTTGTTCAGATAGAGTGAGAGGGAGAGAGAGAGAAACATCGACGTGAGAGCGACACATCGAGTGGTTGCCACCCACATGACCCAACCGGGGCTGGGGACAAACTGCAACCAAGGTACATGCCCTTAGCGGGAACCGAACCTGGGTCTCTCCGGACCGCAGACCAACGCTCTAACCGCTGAGCCAAACCGGCCAGGGCTATTCCTCTTATTTTTAAAAGGATAGCTTAAGGTCCTAGAACAAAAACATGCTGCTGGGTGCCAGTGCTGACTTGATTAAATCAAGCATACTTACTAGGAATAAAAAGATATAAAGGGCTCGGATAAAAAGCCAAGAAAATGTTTTTGGTTCTTTTTCTCCCCCCTGTATACTTTTTTTTTTTTTTTTTTAAATGACTTTAATTAAAAAATTTTTTTCCTTTATTGGTTTTACAGAGAGAGGAAGTGAGAGAGAGAGAGAGATAGAAACATCGATGAGAGAGAACACAATTGGCGGCCTCCTACACGCCCCCCACTGGGGATTGGGCCCACAACCTGGGCATGTGCCCTGACCGGGAATCAGCCACAATCAAAGAGATCAGTCAGTCTCTTGATGCATGGGTTGATGCTCAACCACTGAGCCATACCAGCCAGGCACCCCCTAGACTCTTTTCAAAAAATACAAAAATATCCTCAACACAGCCTGTGCTAAGTTTTTCTGTACCGCAGGCCGACGCTCTAACCGCTGAGCCAAACCGGCCAGGGCGAGCCTGTGCTAAGTTTTTAATCTTCCCTTACCCATCTGATCTCTGCCAAGGCCAGTCTTTCCAGCCTAGGACCTGAACAGGGCTCCTTGACACCCTCTTCACCCAAGCAGCCTCCCTGCTTGCCTGAGGCCAGTCTGTCTTCATCCTGCCCCTCACCAGGCAGAGTTTCTATACACTCCCTCTTCCCCACACATATAGGTATGGGGCTCAGGTCCAGCTCATCAGCAATGTCTGAGTTCTGGGAGAAACAGGTGTGAAGGGTAAGCAGACTGCCACTGGACTCTGGCAAGGCCCCTATTACAGGCCCCACCTAGGCTTCCCGATCTACACATCTCAACTATCACTCATGACTCATTCAGACGCTCCTGTCCGTCTGGACCAGCCTCACCTCCACCAGGAAACCTATATAGGCTGGATTTTTAAATACAATGTTAACATTAAATAGACCCCCCAGGGAATCCCCTCAAATTTTCTATATGGAAAAAGACAACAGGCTCACCATAAACAAATCCTGTCCCCACTTGCAGGCTACAAACTCTGCAGCCAGGAATCTAGTTCACATTCTGGCTTCCTAGTGCTTGGTGTACAGCCTGTGCAGAACAGAAGCTCAAGTAATGTCTGAGAATAAATGCTGCAGGTTGTAGGCCCTCTGCTTTCTCTAGGAGGCACTGCCCAAATGCTAGGGCATAGAGAAGGAGGCACCTGCATCACAGCGGCAGCCCCAGGGCCCAGAAGCACCTTACCTGGGAAGAAGAGCCTGGAATAGGAACACTCTGGGAGCCAAGGATACTTCCCATTTAAAGAAACCTGGACTTTTCTGAAAGATGTGGGTGGCTTCAAGAGAAGTTGAGGCCTGGGGATAGAGGTAGGGAGGAGGAGGGATTGAGGAGAGGAGCTGACATTTACTGAGTGTCTACTATATGCCAGGTTTATCACACCAGGATGCTACTGTGAAATTCTAGTCACCCCAGAACTAGCCACTGTGTCAAGCCATCCAAAAAGAAGGTTCTACCAGCCTTTCTCAACCCGGTTCCTTGAGAGAATTAAGCCCCACTACCCTAAGGCATCCACTGTCTGCAATGACTTAACTTCTCTCCTGTGCATCTTGAACCATCTGGTTATATTCCATCCTTGAGAGAATGGAAAGTCACTCCAGTCAATTTTGGTGTCCTGTGGCTCAGCTGAGGAGCCCTGTCTGAGAAAAGTTACACCCTCTCCTCCTCATTCCACCTCATGACCACCCTGTGAGGGAGGAGTATTTGTAATTTATAGCTGGAGAAAGCCTCTGCTCAGAGAGGGGAAGAAGCTTGTCCAAGATCTCAGAAGTAGTGGCTGAACCTGACTCTGAATCCAAGGCTGTCTGTCTCCAAAGACAAAAGTGGTGAACCTGGGAGGGAAAGGTCCAGTTCTACCTTGTTCAGCAGTGCACCCCACAAATCCTGGTATAGTGCCTGACAAACAGAAGGTGCTACATCAATGTGTAGTTGAACGAATGAACCCCACTCCGAATGACACTGATGAGGGGACCATGAGAGACTGGGGCAACTGCTTCTGTTCATTTATTTATTCCTAAGCCTCAGAGAAGTCCTTCTTGGGGAACACATGTAGAGAGTCTTATATCTAAGGACCACACTGGCCTGAATGAGGATCCTCAGCTTTTACTCTGAGTCACAAAAAAGAAGTCAACAGCAACTATCTTCTTTCCCATTCATAGAGCACCAACTAATTCATAAGTGGGTCAAGTAGTTATTCAAAAGGATAGCGAGAGCTAAGTTTCACCTACAAAGAAGTAACCTAAAACTCCCTCAGTACCAAAGGCCCCAGACTGGCTAATGCCTTTTACTCAACTTATAACAAATAAAATGTTCCTGAACTCAGTTATTTTCATTCAGTTAACAGTTACAGTGTGAGGGACACACCAAGACAAACAAGCTCTTGTCTTTCCGGATGGAGTCCACGATCTGGTAGCTGAGACATGTGCACAAGGACCCAGGGTGGAATGAAGACAGGAAGGGAGGAGAAGGGAGGTCTGGGCAGGGCTCAGAGGAAGGCAGGGCTCCAAAAGGACAGGAGGAAGGTGAACAAAGGCCCATCACAGCTCTGGGGCAAGGGAACACTTCCATGGCACTGGAGGGTGAGGGACCCAAGAGAAAAGAGGCAGAGTTAAGCTAGAGCTCTCACAGGAGGGGCCTTGAAAAACACACTGGTTTGACAATGTTCTTTCCATGCAGTTCACAGGTCCTGCTGTGAGCTAGCTCTCTAGGACTTTTCCTTGCCTTCCCATCCTACACTCCACCCAAGCTCCCAGTATGGGGTTTGTTTCTGGCTCCAAATAAATGTTAAATAAATACCTCATGGGCTAAGAAAACTCAGCCATTCTCTCTGGGAGGCATGGAGTCACCAATATTTTAGAAGCTCTGTGAAGTCCTATTTGCTTTGAAGGCTCTGTATAACAGAACAAGAAAGAACAATCATCCCCAGAGAGGCTGCCTGGGTCCCAAGTGCACCAAGAGCCACAGTTAACCTTGGTACTCTCTAACCCAGAACCTAAGAATTCATCCTAAGGAAATATCTGTATCTGTAGCCCAGGCTGGTTTGGCTCAGTGGTTAGAGAGTCAGCCCGCGGACCAAAGAGTCGCAGGTTCGATTCCAGTCAAGGGCACGTACCTAGGTTGCAGTTAGGTCCCTGGCCCTGGTCAGGGCTGTGCGGAAGGCAACCAGTCAATGTGTCTCTTTTGAATCAATGTTTCTCTCTCTCTCCCTCTCCCCCTCCCACTCTGTCTGAGGGTAAATGGAAGAATATCCTCAGGTGAGAATTAAAAAAAAAAAAATCTGTATCTGCAAAGACATTTATTGCACCAGTATTTACAATAGGAGAAAAAAAAGCAGAAAACAACTTAAAAATCCAATGGCAGTAAACACAAGCATGTTTTGGTGCACATCCTCTCAATGGCCTAAACAGCCATTAAAAATTACAGCCACACCCTAGCCAGTTTGGCTCTGCGGTAGAGCACTGGCCCGCAGACCAATGAGTCTTGGGTTCAATTCCAGCCAAGGGCACGTACCTTGGTTACAGTTTAGTCCCTGGCCCTGGCCGGGTCCTGCGGGAGGCAACCCGTTGATGTGTCCCTCTCACGTTGATGCATCACTCTCTCTCCCTTTTTCTCCCTCCCACTCTATCTGAAGATAAATAAAAAAAAAAAAAAAAATCCTCGGGTGAGGATAGAAAAACAAAATTACAGCCATGCCCAGCCAATGTGGCTCAGCGGATTGAGTGTCATCCCATGGACTGAGAGGTCTCAGTCTGATTCCTTGTCAGGGCACATGCCCAGGTTGTGGGCTTGATCCCCAGCAGGGGTTGTGTAGGAGGCAGATCAATGTGTTCTCACATGGATGTTTCTCTCTCCCTCTTTCTCCAAAAATCAATATTCTTTTTTTTTAATGTTTTATTGATTTTTTTTTTTTTTTTTTTAGAAAGAGAGGAAGGGAGAGGGAGAAATAGAAACATCAATGAAAGAGAC